ACGCTATACGATTTTACATTAGGCCTGTCCGTTTCTTTGTTCAGATCGCATTTGTAAATTACAGTATCTTTCGAGGTATTGGAATGACTTGTACTTTCAACAGATTGCGCATTTCTACAATTCTGGGTTTGTTTCAGTTCGGAAATAATATCGTCATCATCATCATCTGCTAAATCACCTTCAGAGTCATTACACCGCTCATCAATATCCAATTTATACAAAGCACATGAATTTTCTGAATCGTTTTTTAAATCTGTTCTGCTGGTATTTCGTGTATTAGGTGGAGCTTTCATTATACGATGACTTTTTCCATTTGCTTTTTGAATAGGTGAAGAGTGTAATGTCTTCGAGGTCTTAACGCAAGATCGATTATTAAATTCGGAATATTCAGAGCTTACATTGCATGTGTTTACGTTGGTCTGCTGAATGAATTAATTAAATTATTATTATCATTTTTTCATAATTACTAACTGTATTAAACTGTTACAAAGTACGAATATATACCTTCAATTTACTTATTAAAATATGAAAAATGGTTGTACTCACCAATTTTGGTGCTAATTTTGCAATGTTCCTATTGATTTCCATAAGCATTTTATTGTTACCTTCCCTTTCAAGTTTCTGTTTCTCATTTTGTAATCGCTTATTTTCCTTAGTTAATCGTTCAATGTCTTCATATAGTTGCTTTTGATCGCGCTCCATGTTTCTTATTTGCACACGCAAACGCGCCTGCGCAGATGCATGCAATTGCTCCTTTTGTTTCAATTGACTTTGTAGTGTTTCTAATTCATCTTTGAGTCGTGCAATTTCCTTTCGTTCTTTGTTGGTTATAGTTTGTTTTTGCACACGCATTTGGTGCTCAAATTTACGCTTCTCTTCTTCAATTTTCATTCTTTCATCATGCAGGTACATTTCCATTTGAATCTTATCGTCTTTTAAACGATCCAGCGCTTCACTGCGTTCTTGACTAAAATGTGCCTTCTCCATTTCATATTCCTGTTTGGCTCGCAATAATTCAATATTATTGTTCCGGAAAGAAGCTATTTCCTTTTCAAGCTCTTCCAGACGTAATTTAATAATGTTGCTCTTCTCTTGTAGTTCTTGCGTTAACGCAGATGGTGGTGAGGATATCAACATGTTTTCATCTGTTGTTTTGTCTTCGCCAGCATCTTTGCCTAGCAATGCGCTAAAGAGGGCATCCTTGAATTGATGAAATAAATATGAACTTTTATTTGAGGACGTTTCTTCATTTAATACGGAATTATTGGAAATTATATCTTCGCCATTTTCATATTCACAAGTTGTATTTTCTTCAGAAAAACGGACATGTAAATCTACCTTGTCGGCATGTAATGTGGACTCGTTTCTGGATTCAGCACTTAAGTAAGTTAAAATACCAGATGTTTGACATCTCTGGCCTCTATCGTCAGTGGCATCAGAAAAACTATTTTCGTCGTCAGAATCGCATCTTAACACCTCTTCGACTGTAGGTCGCAAGCGACAATCCGCATATCGACTATTTATAGGCATTTTAACGTCGTTTACTTCATTTTTATCGTTGTTAGCTTTATTGTTTAGGAATTTTCTTACAAAACTGGAGTTCATATCTATAGCTCCTTGGTCAGCTTGCCGCTCAAGAAGTTCGAAGATACTTAGATTTTCATCATCACATTTACTATTATTTCTTCCAGAGTTAGATAAATTTTGCCGTATATCGCTTATAGGTATTGGTTTTAAATGTTGTGGATCGAGAACTTTTGACCAAGTAATTGCGACATATGGTTCAACTTGATGTTCCGGTCCATTTTCTTCAAAATCTTCACAGGCTTTTGTTTCTTTAAATTCAGTTTCACATAGCCGAACGTTGGGTAGAGTTATAGAAATTGAAGATAGATCTACTTTGGAAGACCTTGTATCCGGTGTAGAACTATTAGCTGGATTTGCATTGGCCAACATTTTATGAAATTGTTTCTCATTAACATCATGTTTTATTTCATCAATACAATCCACGCTATTAGTTTCTATCATTGAATTTTTTTGGGATGGTTTTACTCTAGGTGCTAACCTGCGACGTTGCATATTTTTAATTTTGGAATGTGTGTCAGCATACTTATATCGTGGTAAGTTATTTAGTCGCAGTGACTCTGGTGAGATTTTATATCTTGCTTTTATGCCCTCACCGCGTTTAAGATATGGTCGTTTGGGCTTTATATCTTTAACTTCAAATTGTTCGTTATCGTAGTTAATACTGTTGCAATTTCTTTGATTTGAGAACTCTCCTTGAGTTTTATTTCTAGTTTGAAATAATCTGCTTTCTATTTCTTTGATTTCACTGTCAGACCCAAAATTAACTTGACTTCCGTATTTATTTAACTGATCCCCTAATGTGTTACCACCGTCATTGTCTAGATTCTCAATTATGTCATTTCCATGAAGGAATCCCATTTTCTCATAAACATCCTGGTGCTCTAAACCCAAGATTTTTCGCTGCATATTCTGGCGCTCGTCCAACAAACGTTTCTGCTCTTCCTGCCATTTGTTTAACTTTTCCAAACGCTTTACTATGTTCACTTGTGACTCCAGCATGTTGTTTTTGCAATTGGTTTGCAGCATTTTCAACATAAAATTTGCTGATGGTTAACAGTTTTAACAAAATAAATTAATGTATCCACACTCGAATATTTTAAATTGAAAATGTTATTATTTGAGTATAAGCAACCTAACGGGCTATTCGATAAATAGCAAATCAGAGATGTGCGTATGGTGAAACGTATTTCCATCGATTAAATATTATTTTAAACATTAGTAAAAAATAATTTCAATTGTTGACATAATGATTTACGATATATATAAGAGCTTATATGAAAGTATTACTTCAGTTTATCGTTGATGCATTAATAACATGAATATTATTGAAAATCGTTCAAATTCCTTTTAGAACGAAAATGGCTGCTGGGTAAAAACAAGAATACAACTCTGTACACAAAGCAATTGACAACCGGACTAAATTTTTGGAACTGTATTTTTTTATATTATTATATTTTTCTTAAATTGTAAAGTTATTTATGTATGAATTACTTAAAAATCATTCGCGAAAGTGCAAAAGAAATTCAGTACAGTTAATTCATTGCACGTTATGAGCTTTAAAGATTTGGACTTCAGTACTACTCGACGGCTTGTTTTTATCGTGGTTGTTCTGTTGACCATATTATTAGTAAAAAGGATATTCAGTGATTCTTGAGAAAAACTGTTTTGAAAAAAAAACGTCAGAAAAATGGCAACTGCCACCAACCGACGGGTTTCTTATTTTTACAATCCAGATGTGGGCAATTTTCATTATGGTCCCGGACATCCAATGAAGCCGCATCGCTTATCTGTTACACATAGTCTTGTTATGAATTACGGTCTTCATAAAAAGATGAAAATATATCGACCTTATAAGTAAGAAAGCATTTTAATGTGTAAGCACTTCCAAAAATATAATCTATATTTTTAGAGCGAGTGCTCAGGACATGCTACGTTTCCATAGTGAGGAATATATAGACTTTCTTCAAAAAGTCACTCCCCAAAATATTCAGTGCAATAGTAAGTAATTGAATAATATTTTTTAAATTGATATATTTATATGTATTTTTGATAATTTTAGCCGTAGGGTACACAAAATATCTGTCTCACTTTAGTGTGGGCGAAGACTGTCCAGTTTTCGATGGTTTATTTGAGTTTTGCGCGATGTATACGGGCGCTTCTCTGGAGGGGGCCCAAAAGTTGAATCACAATCACAGTGATATATGCATAAATTGGTCAGGAGGCTTGCACCATGCAAAAAAATTTGAAGCATCAGGTTTGGATTAAAACTTTGAAATAAAATATTTTTTCATTTCCTACAAGATATGCCCTTTTAGGTTTCTGTTACGTTAACGATATTGTGATAGGCATACTTGAACTACTTAAATACAATCCACGAGTGTTGTATATTGATATTGACGTACACCATGGCGATGGCGTACAAGAGGCATTTTATCTCACGGACCGCGTTATGACTGTATCCTTCCATAAATATGGAAATTATTTCTTCCCCGGAACGGGTGATATGTACGAAATTGGCGCGGAGTCGGGTCGATATTATAGCGTAAATGTACCACTAAAAGAAGGCATTGACGATCACAGTTATTTTCAAGTTTTTAAACCAATAATTTCGGCAGTGATGGATTTCTATCGCCCAACAGCGATCGTGTTACAATGTGGCGCAGACTCGCTTGCTGGTGATCGGCTGGGATGTTTTTCCCTCAGTACCCGTGGACACGGGGAGTGCGTTAAGTTCGTTAAGGAGCTAAATGTACCAACGTTGGTAGTTGGCGGTGGGGGTTACACTTTACGTAATGTAGCTCGCTGCTGGACTCACGAAACATCATTGCTTGTAGACGAAAATATATCAAATGATTTACCAATGTCGGAGTATTTAGAATTTTTCGCGCCGGATTTCACGCTTCATCCTGATGTAAACTCACGCCAAGAGAATGCTAATTCTAAACAATATTTGGAACTGATAGTGAAACATGTTTATGAGAATTTAAAAATGTGTCAACATTCCCCAAGCGTACAAATGGTGCAAATTCCTCCAGACTCCATTGACATGGAAGAAGTGCGGGTTAAGGAAGAATCTGACCCAGATGTTCGAATATCACAGGCTGAAGACGATAAAATGGTAGAGCCGAAAAATGAATTTTACAGTGGAGATACGGATCAAGATAAAGGCGACACGGCTGAAAGTTAAAATATATTTTGCGAGTAGTACGATAGGAAATATGTTTTTTAAGATATAAAAGTTTATTCATTTTAGGTTTACTTATAATAAATTTTTTATATAAACTAGTGGATAGTTGAGAGTTGTGCTATTCTTGTTATTGTAGCGGTTATTTAGTGCTATTCCTCATAGATGGTCAGTTATAATTCAGTGGTGATAAAGTACCTGTAGGCTTTTGTTTATAAAACTACGCTGGTTTATTTTTCAATCTACATTTATTTGTTAATTCGAAAAAATACCATTTATATCTAGAAACATATCATTATTGCATTCAGCGCAAAATACTTCGATATATATGTATATGAACTTGACTCGTCGCTAAAAACCTATGCATATATTGAAAGGTTTTACCAACCCGTTGTCGTGTTGGCCAAACGACGCATGCGACGCGTATTACGGTCTTGATCACGTATTTTCTTTTCCATTTCAGCATCCGTTAATGTTTCGAGGAATGGTGCCCAAGCATCAGCATCGCTGGGATTACGGAAGGGAACATCAATAGTAGATAGGGGAGCTTCACTAAAAGCATAAGTGCGACAATGCCAAGACAATTGGCCGCGTATGCTGTACGCAATTGCTGTTACAAACTCCCCTCCCAAGCCGAGCTCAGCACATAGCTTTATAGCGAATTCCTCGGGATTATTATTCTTTTCAGACATATCCCATTCAACTTGATCAACAAGTGATGTATTTCCGACGTGAATATTAAGTTTAACGATAACTCGCTGATCACAACTTTCTTCAAGTATCGGAGGCTCATTTGGAAAAGCTTCTATTTGCTGTCGAATGGCTTGAGCAATGGCAGGAACAAAAGGTATGGGGTTTAAATCCAAATCATCGCAAAGTACTTCAGCAAATTGTTCTGGTGTTATCATACTCTCTTCAAAAATATATATAATTATAAAATTTCAATAAACGAAGTGAATCATTAATATACCATTTTTATTCCAAGTGAATGTATCACGCAATTTTTGACCTTCCAATTCCATATCTAAACGTATCGGTACTAAACATTCTTTCTGTCCTGCGTTTTCAATATTAGCTGTTGGGTCGGTATCATCAAAACACATAGGGAATGTACGAACTTTCTTGGTATGAACGCGATTACGATTTATTGGAGTGGCTTGTGGGACTGCGTCCAAATGACTAGAATTCGGCATAGTGGGCACATATTGTGGCTGTTTTTTAGATTTATTTTCACGCGGTAATGGTGCTTCCGATGTGTTTACGGATATAGCTCGATATCTATGTGAATTATTCATTAAAATATATATTTATATTGTAGACATACGTATATAGTTGTGTATTTATAAAAGTTAATTACTTTTCATCATTTCCTGCAATTATATCGTCTACTTCTACGGCTCGTAGTAGTGATACAGAACTCGCTAATATGTGTGAACTCAATCCGGAATCAGCTAGCCTTTTACGTTCTTCATTGGAAAGTACTAACCGCGTCATACCAGGATACTTTTTATAAAGGATACCACGGAATAAACGCATATAGTTTCCCACTTCAGAGCCGACATAATAGTATTCCCCACCTTCTTCCAGCTGAAAAGCCACAGGCTTGTCTCCATATGTTTGTAATGCCATTTATAAAAAAAATATATCCGGTAAAACAAACCTTATGCTTTTTTCCACTAAAATTAATTTCACACTAAAATGCTAAAGCTTTATCCCTGGCTAAAACCTAACAATAAAACGTCAGAATAGATATGCAATAATGGCGAACCTAAAGAGGGATGCCATCATTAAAAAATATCGTAATTTATACTGTGTGCCAAACGGTAATAATTTTCTCTGTGTTGAGTTGGGGTGAAATAATTTACTATGGTGTAAACAACTTTTACATTTTACAACGCCAAATGAAAAGAAAATTTTGACAGTTGAATTTCAGAACAAACGCAATTGCGACTTTTAAATGTATGCCTCGTTATTTAAATTATTAATTACTCTGCTTGCTAATAAAAATATTAATGAAACCCCAAAAAATTGAAGATTTATTATTAATTGAGTATTTTAGGCAAAGTGCTAGGCTACTTGCAAGCGGAGCACATATGTACACATATAATTATATATTCATATATTTAATGATTATATTACATCTTTATAAATACATTTACATTAAGATCTTTTGAACAATTACAAAAATATTATTTAAAAATGAATTTTTACTCAATTCTTTCATCTTATATTAGTTTGCAATATTTGGGTTAATTAACAAAAATTCTAAAGGAGTCAAGAACTTTCCTTATTTAAAGTATCATTTCTGTATTGAATGGAATATATAATAACACAAACAAATGAATAATTACGAATTTATAAGGCTGCAGAGGCTTTTTTAAAATATGTTTATTTCTGAATGCATATGTGTATTCATGTTTATTTATTAAATTATGGATTGATTAAATAAAACATGTCATATTAATAGAGGATAAATCGATCGCTTTTATATCTTCTTTCTGTGTAGCGTTTTTTGGTTATTAACCAGTAACTTAACCGATAGTTTGTTTACGGGTATAAAAATTTAATTCACACATACTTATATGCAATGATATCGTTGAAATGGTCCTGATCAGTATTAGTTAATTTACCATCGATAATTATCAAATACGACCGCTAAAACAGCTGATTGATTATATGTAATTAAACCTTGTCGCAACTTCTACAATATTTCAATACGAAGAAAATGTCACTGTTTCGATTATCTTTACGCATTTTAACTCAAAACAAAGGATTAACACGTTTGCCAGTGTTAGGTTAATATTAATAATATTGAAGAAAATGTTTTCAGAATAAATAATATTTTATTCTTCACACATAGATCAAACTCGTTGCATTAAGCGTTGGGTGGCGCCGACATTACGTGAGCTTCGCAGGCGACAAAAAAAGTTAGGACCCCAGCTGCCACAACCACGTTCCGGTTTTATTGAGTGGAATTACCGTGCTGAGTTATTTGCTTTTGGTAAACGTCTACATGAAGAATTTGATTTAGAAATGCTGCAGGCAGCATTCACACAACCTTCGTATGTGCAAAAAGAGCAATTGCGGCAACGTGAACTTGGTATTGTCGAAACAGACGTAGTAATTAAAGACAACTATGAAGTGTCCGAACGAGGAGCATATTTAGCAAAAGAGTGTGTTCGTGCATATTTGAAACATTCATTTCCGAATGTGCCTGTGGATGGGATAAATGCCTTCACAGATTATTTGCTAAGTACTGGAATGCTATCACATATCGCCGCACATCTAGGTATGAGTGAATTGTTACTTGATGACAATTATCCACCTGAACAAGAATCCTTGGCTCGTTCATTACTTGCTGTTATCGGCACAATCGAGCAATGCAATGGACAAGAACGAGCATTTCTTTTTATACGAGATTTCATATGTACACAAATGAATCAGCGCGATTTACTTGAAATATGGCGTATTGACGATCCAGAAATACTGTTGAAGCAAATTTGTGATGAAAGAAATTTGGGTGAAATAGAACCCCGTTTAATTGGCGATTGTGGTAAAAATACTCTCCTTGCTGCATATCACGTGGGATTATATGCAAATAAAAAACTGGTTGGTCGGGGTAAGTTGTAATCTATTGAATAGCTTGATTCAGAGTAAAATATATCATATATACATATTTACATTATTTGTGGAAATCTGAACCATTTTGCTTTGTATTATAATGAATTTCTTTTAGATGTAAATATTACTAAGTTTTTTTTTTTTTTTTAGGATTTGGCGAAAATGTGGCAATTGCTACAAAAGTGGCTTCACTGAATGCTTTACAGGAAATATTTTGTATACAAGATAACATGCGTCCCCTTAATTTCCAATCACACCTAAAGCTAGAAGCTTGTAATGCTATAGAAAATTAGGCTTAAAAAGTCAGTTTATTACCTCATGCTTATAGGTCTTTGAAATAAAATGCAAATATCTGAGTTCAACAAATAAAATCTTTGAAATTTTTTTTCCGAATTGTTTGAGATGTCTTTATATATACACAAACATTTAGTCATAGAGAAATAATTTATGTACTAAATGTGGACTACTTAAACTAACTACTCTTATCAACTTGAGTTACCAAAATTAGGCTATGTCAATCTGTACCATCCATCTATCCCATCTGTTTACCAATCGTATGTTAGACTAACAAATTATACATGATATATATATTATTTGACGTTGTCTGGTTTATTGCCACCAACATTGCCGCTATTATTCGTTCCAGTACTAGATGAGAGCCCAGTACCGGGTTCTTCGGGTTTACTTTCAAGAGAAAAAGGAGGTATTTTACAATCAAAAGTGTGACCGTCTTCACGCTCTAATCGAAATGTGCCCCACATGTGACCGCTAGGGGCTTGCAGGCTGACATGACTGCTATATTGAAAAGCCGGTAGACGTGGGCTGAGTATTGGCTCTTGTCCTACAACACCACGTCCTCTTACCGTTTCTAAAGTGCCTGAAAGGGAGAAAATCCTCCAATGACGTTCCCGTAACTGGACGCTAAGCACACCTAAATTCTCCAAACGAATGCAGTAGCGCCACTAAAATTATACAATATTAAAAATATATTATAAAATAATGTTTTCGAGTGCATGCTTACCCAATATACAGAGGAAGCGGGAGTTTCCCGACAACCCATATAGAACGGTATCACAGTTACACGTATATTATCTGTAGTCTCCTTATGAACATCGCTCAATTCCAACCAAGGATGGTTTTTTTCCTGCCATGCTTTTAATGTATCTTGTCCCTCGAACGGTGGATCTTTGCCGGGGACATGCGTTAAGAACTTATCGAAAAGTTCATGTTGTAGAGGATGTTTTTCTCCCGACGTATATGGCATTATATCGTCGTGTGCAACATAATCAAGACCGGGAATAGCATACAGACTGCGGTTGGAATCTTGATTTCCCAGAAATGTTACAGCTTCAGTTTGTGCGCGCTTCAAAAAAATTTACCATTTAGAAGTAAAAATTATAAATTTGTAATGGATTGATTAGAGGTTTTACTTACAATATATGGGCAATCGCGTGAATCGATCAGTACTTGGTAGAATGTGTGTACTTTGCCTTTCACTTCTTTTACAGACGAATCGGACCCATTGGTGGACGAAGATGAACTTGGACTTTCACCTCCGCTAGTTGCATGTGTAGCTGAATTTCCTTGTTCAGTTGATGCTTCTGTATTTGTGCTTTTCGTACTTTTTTCTGCTGCAATGGCAGCAGTGGACGACCTATCAACATTTACTCTTTGTTTTTGCTTGTTGGGATTATGTAGATCTCGATCATATACTCGCGCAGACCATGGAAAAAGCACAACTCCACGGTAACCAAATATGCGATGAAGGAATAACTGACCTGTCTCATATTTCCCATCTATTTTGATTGACTCCAATCGCCCTACTTCAGCTAATCTATATGGAATGGCAAAATCATTGAAAACTATTTCTACAACGTGTGCAATTTGTTATGTAATTTAAAGACCCCACTAATATAAACACACACTACTTTATTTTATTAAAGGAAAATGCGCATTAATTGATTTTACTATGGAAAACGATAAATGTGGTTTCATAACGTTGAATGAGGATATACGAGTATATGAGAAATATTATACTTACTTGGCGAGTTTTGATCCATGCTGTGAAAATTGTCGGAGTAGAATAATATCACAATTTCCTATAACTGCTAATGGAACTAAAACCCGTCCTATATTATTATTTCTTAACGCTTTAGTAAATAAGCTATTCATGTTTTGTGTTTTCGTTTAGTGCTCTTTACTCATCTGCGGTCACAACAATACGGATCATTCACTAATAGTTTAGTCCTTTGGGTTAAATATTTTAGAAATTTAAAAGTCCTTCTAGGCATAAAATATTTTAATGGATTTATGAATATTGTTTTTTTATGTTTTGTTAAGTTAATGCAACAAATAAAAAAGTGTAAAGGTTTTCATGGCCGATTTTTAGCGAAAATACTCCAAAATTGTCTGCTATAGTTTTCCTAATTGGCATTGTAAAAGTTTGGCAGCACTAATAGATTGTTGAAAATTTTCACTATACGAACAAGTGAGCAAAACAAAAAGAGTTGACTTTAATCTAATTATTTTTCAAAGAGAATCAAGGAATAAGTAGGCGGAGGTGGTAAAAATTGTTTTCAGCCACCGATTGCAACAGAATCCAAATAATCAACCAAGTAGTCAATTTAGAGGTTGGAACATACATTGCGACTAAAATGGCGCTACCGGCCAAAGTTTTTACACTTTCGAGAAATGGTAAGTCTAAAAATGAAATGTATTGTTTAAGAACAGTATATGCTGCTTATTTTATGTATGGTTGAGGTTATGGAAGTTATGTCACATCTTAGTTCAAGGATAAAATAATCGTAATATAAAATGTCATAGGTCAACGAATGTTTGGAACCAATCTCCGCTTACGTGCAGCTGGGAAAGATATAGTAACTGTACCGAAGGGTTATGTGTATGTAAACAATAAAGAGTTGAGCATGGAAATCAATGAGATCACTGACCGCGCAGCAACAACAATGTTTTTAGGAGAACTTTTTCGAGGTTTTGCTGTGACTTTGGCCCACATTTTTAAAGAACCAGCCACTATTAACTATCCCTTTGAAAAAGGCCCCTTAAGTCCACGTTTTCGTGGAGAGCATGCTCTCCGTCGGTATCCCAGTGGAGAGGAGCGTTGCATTGCTTGTAAATTGTGCGAAGCAATATGTCCAGCACAAGCTATTACAATTGAAGCAACAACTCGGTCTGATGGTAGTAGGCGTACAACACGATACGATATAGATATGACTAAATGCATCTATTGCGGTTTTTGTCAGGTAATACATAACAGATATTATTCGAAAATATACATAAATATTTCAAATTTTTAGGAAGCTTGTCCTGTTGATGCTATTGTAGAGGGCCCCAACTTTGAATTCTCAACTGAGACACATGAAGAATTATTGTACAATAAGGAGAAGCTGCTTTGCAATGGAGATAAATGGGAATCGGAGATTGCATCTAATTTGCAAGCGGATCACTTATACCGATAAATTGTTTGAGTTAGAAAGGTTAAAGTTCTCAAATTCGTTAAATATATTATACTTCAGTATAGCTTGAATAAAGGCTTTAATTAACGCAATTATTTGTATGTTACATTTTATTATTCATTTTGAGACGACATATTTTGTAATTAAATAATAGTTGCGAAAGGAATAGACATGTCTATTGTCCAGGCCCAGATAAAGATTTCTCCATAAACTTCTTTTTAGCGAAACAAATCCACCATTTATTGGGCTTTCCGTCTTCACTGTTGAATACTTTCTCGCAAACGCGATTTCCGATTTCGTGTCGCAATTGTAAGAAATATTGACGCATTAAATCTAAAAGCGATATTTGTACCGATATGTACATAAATATAAATGTTTAGTCATCAGTACTATAACCTTTACATATTTATAATTTACCTCCTTCTTGTGTATTTTGTGGTCTAGCATAAACAGCATTTAATGGAAATCCTGCATCTCCAGGAATATCAAATTTTGAAATTGCTAAACTGTACATTTCTTGAGTTCCTTGATTTTTGTTACTACAGCGTTGTAAGCGCTTCAAGCATTCGGTTATATACAGGGTAATGTAAATGAGCACACGATCCACTTCAGACTAAAAAATGTTTTTTATATGTGTATATACGACAAATAATAGGAAGTTATTACCTTTATCTCATATGTACGGAAGAAAACATTTGCTTTGAAGTAATATAGTGACTCATCAATGATATCGTTTTCAATATTGGCACAGGGGGCAGGTCCACGAGCTTGGGTACGTAAAGGCAATATTGCCATATTTCCGACCACTTGGGGAAATTCCTTAATCTGTGAATGGTAGGCCTAAAAAATATTTTAATATATAAGCAGTACATTCATTTGTTTGTTTCTTTTTATATGTTGAACGAAATGACCGCACCCCACTATGCTTTAAAGGTTTTAGGAATTGGTATTTTTTAAGATATTATATTTACCGGCATAACTGCTGTATTTCAATTTATATACTTGTTTGGAATCTAATTTAAATTATAAGTAAATATTTTCAAGTTATTGGAATTTTGGTTGATATAGGAATGCAAATATCTAAGCAAATATTGACAACTGCTTAAGTCAAAGAATGTTTTTTTTATTTTAGATGTTATCGCTTAAGCTTTTGGTCATACTTTTCGTCGAATTCCCTTTTCGTTTTTAAGTTTGTGCGCACTGTTTAATTCTGTCATATAACCAGAGAATGTAAAATACATTCTACATTCTCTGATATAACTTATAGCTAATTTACATACAACTTTCGAAGCAAAGCTAACATAAGTTATATCATAATGAACGCTTTGCTTTTGGAGCTTCTCTCTGATATTAAATATTTCGTGTTTTTTTACTTTTGTCAAATCATTCAAAGTATAAAGCAATCGGAAATATTTTTGTATTGTCATTTGTTATCCTAATAAAATCCCTTGCATAGTAGCATCACGCGGGAATGTTCGAGCCATTCAAGTGCTTAAAAGTTGTAGGGATTTTAGCCTCAGTGAGGATATTAGAAAATTTAAACTTAAGGAGTATATATATAAATATTCATCTAATAGTCAGTACATCTATGAGACTTTTAGGGTGGATATACATGACGGAGAATGTAGATAATATTTTACATTCTCTGTACATGAGGTTATCGAGTATCAAAATATTTATATCTGTTTATAAGCACATCCCTACTTTCATAGGGAAAATAAAAGAGCAAGAAAGACCGGGGCAACAAATAACATAATGATAACAAATCAGAAATAACAAAAACTGTCAATATGGAACAATGCGATAACGCGAAAAGTGGTCAAAGCTGGAAAGCAAGTATAAGAAAATGTGAAATAGGTGACAACTAGCAACTAAATAGCGAAAATTGTGAGCAAGGCTTATTCACAAGTTTCTAATTGCAAAGGAAAAAATATCAAATTTAAAGAAAATATTACGTCCTATAATCCGTACTGCAGTGGAAACGGAATAACGTCAATTACGAAACCAAATAATTTTCTATAATTTTCAATATAACCGAAAAATGATTTAGAAAGTAATATATGTTATGTTCCTACAATAAATTTTTGCTATCCAGAAAGTTATTAAGTGTATAAATTACATTAGTTATTTGCAATATATAATCTATTCGCGTTTACCTATAAAATTTGCGTAAATATGCTTACTTTATATTATGCCACTGCTACATTCCTGCAGTCTTGGCGTATAAAGAACGTCTGTGCAGAAATTGGACAGCAATTAGCTCTAAATACGAGCATTTCATTCTACACGTTGCCTACAGAAAATAACGATGGTTTTGGTGAGACAAACAGCGAGCTAAATACTTATTAATTATCAAAATTTTTTTTTTAATATATTTAACGTACCTAATTGTGTGTTCATAGATCCTTCATTAGCGGCATCAGATTTCTGTCACAACCGAAATGCTGCGCGTGTTTCCGAAATACTTTGGTTAAATGGTTCACATCGCGGTTGCTGTCTACATCCGTTGCAAGTGGTGCAACTAAAGCCATGGATATCGTTTGATGAGAATAATACCTCAATGGAGAATAAGCTACTTCCCTTTGCTCACCAACCGAACCCAAAAGCTTTGTTGGATGAGTTTGCTGCTTTAAGAAAAGAAGACATTTTGCATCTCTTATTGGAAGCCGATATTCAACATTGTTATGAGTATAAGAATACCACAAATCATATACGGGTATGCGAAAAAACTAAAACCAAATTTTTAATTGTATAATATCAAAATTGATTTTGCAAATAATTTATCATTTGAGACTTTTGAAGATTAAATTATGAAATTATAAGAAATGGAATGTACATTACCATCTATTACAAAATTCAACATGTTTTTAACTGTTTTTTTTTTTTGAATTTTCGCAGATTGAAAATTTTGGTAAGCTAATAGCATGGAAGGTTGACTCACATCTTGCTGTGCTCATTGAGACTGATGTGAAACATTTTACCAAATTGTTGTTGTCCACATATTTACAAAATAAATTTCTAATTAACGATCAGCTACAATTATTGAGGATTGAGTGTAAGCTAGTGATAAATTATGTGTTATTTTTTAATGCCATATTTAATTCAATAGGACATATGTATACATATATACACTCTTATTTTAATTTTATTTTTATCTGTAATATAGCAATATGATTAACACAATCTTTCTAAATTGCCAGCTATTAAATATGAGGGTAAACCACAACCCATGAACTTGTTGGCCAGCCATTTGCGCAAGCCTGTACGGCAGTGCGAGTTCAACTTAAGTAATGAGGATTGGCAGCGGCATTTGGAGCATTTACGTGCATTGAGCGTATTAGCTCATCAAGCAACAGAGTTTGAGAGTCAAAAAAATCGTACCGAGGGTAAAACTACAGACGATGTTGTAGTTAAGCCAGATCTTATACCTTACGAGCAAAAGGTAATTGCAAGCGTTGCGAATTTCAAGTCAAGTAATTCACGAGAGTCGGAAAATGTTGACACTACTACTAATGCCGAAAAATCTACCGAAACAGCCGAAACTCTGACGGATGTCAAAACAGCTTCAACTGTCAAACCTAGTAAATCGTCTATGGTGACAAAAGTATCTATAGAGACCGAAAAAGCTGTGAAAATTTCTTCACCTTTGTCCAAAATGAAGACTAAACCGACCGAAATTAGAAAACCAGTCGCCGCTAACACCAGTTCTGGTGGCAACGGACACGAGAGTCGCTTCAAGACTACCAAGGTCAGTAGAAATCAATTTTAATTACATATGTATTTGTGTATACGAATTAAAATTCGAAAACAATCATTTAGGTTACTGATGCTTCCGCATCATCAATAGAAACACAAAAGTCTTCAAAATCTGCGCTGATATCACCGACTCTTCCACTCACTGATCCACCCATTACCATTTCTGCAGCTGCAGCCATAATAACAACAACTATAGCTCGCGCTAAAATGCCTTCCAACAGTGCGAACCAATCTACTGATTTTGGCAAGATAGGCACAGGAACTGTGTCAACATCATCACAAAAGCAACAATCGATACCTATAGAAACTACCTCGCTACAAAAAAACAAAAATAGCGAAAGCGACTTATCAACTTCCACACACGCATCTACAAGTTATGGCGCATTATCAAATGAGGACCAGAGGAAGAGTCTTAGTTTAAAGCGGTCCGCTATTTCTTGCCCAAGTAAACCAACCAATGTATTTGTTTATTCCGAAAGCGCTAGTTCGCGCGAGGGAGCACTTTCTACACTTAAACATATTTTAGATCGGGAAAGGTGAATAATATTATGTGATCATAAGAATAATTTATATTTTCATATTGTTTACACATACTATACACTTTTTGAAATTCTTTTAAGGTATACAATTTATGCAATGACTCCTCAACAGTTAACACAAAAATATTGGATGGAAAACACTGGACTTTTAGTAGTCTGTGGTAATGTGCCTACAAATGTTGGAGAGATACTAGTTGATTATTTTTTGTGTGGTGGTAGAGTACTCTCTTTATGTTCAGATATACTGAATTTTGTGCTGCCCAACTATCGAACTGCCGAGGTGATTAGAAATTAGTGTACTTTGTTGTTTTTATAAACAGAACAAGTATGGAAGGGCTAAGTTCGGGTGTAATCGAACATTTCATACTCTTGCAACTTGGGTCAAAGCTGGCTAAATACCTTTACTAAAATCATTGGGGACAGAGAAATCGAAGGGCTGATTGCATTAATTTTTGTCATTGCTCATGTAAACTTGAGAATTTGTTTTCAAGCAATTTTATTAAAATATAAACATAAACATATGAGTCAGCCGGACGTTTCAAAATCGTGAATATCAGTTATATGGGGGTAAGGCAAGTTTCCGCCCGATTTTATACATTTAAGAAACACATTCTCATAATTTCAATAAAATAACTCCATCATTGGCCGATATACCATATGTGGTATAAAGACAACTGGAAGCTCTTTATATTAGGTATATGGGGGCTAAGAGCAGTATTGACCCAATTCAACTAATTTTAGATACAAGGGTATATTATTACCAAAGGTCTATTCTCCCCGAATTTCAATAATATATCTCACAGATCGACCAATATTTACGGCAAAAAGTCAGCCATACGCACTCGGGTCCACATTTTTGGCGTCTGGGTTCTTCAAAAGTTATGGTACGACGGTCTGTAGCAACATGTTGCAAGAGTATAAAAATTAGCGAACAGTTGTTTAATCTACCTGCACGTATTTTTGGGTTTATTTAGTCAGATATCTTGTTTTTATATAGGTACGTGAAAATGAACTGGTGCAGTTCTCGTATGATAAATGGCAAAAAATAAAAATGATGCATCACATATTTTGTTATCAGCCTTCGCCCGTAAAGAAGAACTTCTCTACGGATAGTGACGATGCTACACAATCAACTACGAGAAAACCGTAAGTTTTTGACTTAAACACTTCTGAAATCACATGCTTAGACTCTTTGTACATACACATAATTACACTGAAAACAATTGAATTTATTTGTAAAGTACATAATTTAAGAGAAGAGATGACGCAAGATGTTTATAAACAATTTTCGTATATATATATTTTTTTTTACTTTTTTCAATTGTTTGAGAATGCATAATTGTGTTCATTATAGTACATCCGGTGTAGCTCTCACTTTTTGATTATACCTATATACCTATAAATGAGTTGAATTTTCGCCATTGATCGTCATGAGTTAAGGTGGCGCGATGTTTAATTACATTGTTAAAAATTATAAATCCAATATTGTTTTAACCATTTCGAGTATTTTAAAAATGCGTAGTTCGACCACAGTATAGTTAATTTTACCTTTTTTGGAATATTTTACTAATTTAAATGCATTTTTTTTATTGTTCAATTCTTCTTCTCTAATTTTGTGTAACATTTTTTTTGTTTTTTTTAAAACAACAATCATTATGTGTGCGTATACTTATATGTATGTTATTATGCCTTGCCGTTATAAATTTAATTAAATTGTTGTTAATTTATAATATTTACTATTTACATATATTTATATGTATTTGTTTCATTTATAGACGCCCTTTATTTTATTCTGTTGTCTATTTTGTAAATACTGGCTTTGAATGATATGGGAATCTAATAATGAATTTCACTTATAAACATTCTTTCTATAATTCCAAATTTCGGTTTGATTTGCCCCTTTCCGTATACGATTTTTGTTCAAATTTTCTTCACATTTCTTTGTGTGTCTGTTTCCGTTTGCTTTCATTACACCTTTTGCTCGTTCTTGTGTGTGTTGTGGCAATTTCTTCGTACATACATACATACATACATTTATGTGGTGCAAAAACAAAACAAAAAATCGGCCCTTAGAGCTCTAGTGTGTCCAAGGTCTGTCGAACTGCAGGATCTTCGTGGTAAAGTGCACAATCTAGATGTGAAAGTGCTTGGCACTGAGGAAACGTGGAATACACCCAGTTTGTTATTGGCGAACAGCGTGCAAAGCGGAGGATGTGCAGTTTTCTCGCAGGTAATCAACCGTTAAATTGTTTCGTATAAAGATAGAACTTCAATCATTTTCATTAATCCTTCATTACAATTCTGAGTATAGTTTTTTAGTAAGTGACACTCCATTATCAAATATAAAACCATGCATGCGAGTGCAATTCCACCTTGTTAAATTTTTTTTTGAATAGTTTATAAATCATAATTAAATCACGTGGTCGAATTCAACAAAAAATGGAAACAGTGCTGGCAGTTACAAGTTAAGTAACGGAATTATCCAACCTGACTATATGCAATAATCGTGACAAAAAATTGTTTAACCCTAATATATTCCAGTTATTGTATTGTTATCTCAAAATAAGCAAGACTTTGTTATTGGGATGATAAATTCGTAATTTGAATTTCAGTTAATTTCACTTGCAGACAGATCTATTCGTAAAATTTGGCAGTATGACAAACGTTATTTAGAATACTTTATAGATATTTCAATGGAATATTCTCACAAAAATGTTATTTAAATTATTATTTTAAAATATTTTCTAAAATAATATTTATAAATTTTGAAGGTACATTTGGAAACGAATCCTTTGCAATTCGAAATGGATGAATCTAAGTATAAGATTCTAATGCAGAATGAACAAGTTCGAATGGAAATTTTAGCTCACTTACTAAACAAGCATTTGGATATTAGTGTTCGGCAATTCAACACCATCGGAGACAAATGTACATATCAGGAAGCTTATTTTCTTGGGAAACACGAGGTAAGCATGTTAAAAAAAAATCATTTGTGCATATGTATATTAGAGTGTCCGTTAAGTCACTAGTTGATTTTCTTTCAAACGCCCAGTTGCAGTTTTCCCTAAAAAAAGTATCCAACGGAGACAAGCTCTTTATTTTCAATTTAAACTGAGCCTGAATCATTTTACTTGGGATTTTTTGATATTTTGCAATAATTTTTTTTGTCTCCAAAGCCAATACAACCTTAAAAGAATGATATTCTAATGCCAAATTTTTCGCTTTACAAAAAAATGTCTTAATAACTTTTTTGATCGTTCAGTTTGTATAGCACTCAAATGCTATAGTGGTCCGATATCGGTGGTTGCGACAAATGAGAATCTTCTTAGGGCGAGAAGGACTTGTGCAACATTTCAGATCGATATCTCAAAAACTGGGCTAGCCACCGAGTTTTCGCGTATATACATACAGACGAACTATCTGAACAAATCTTAAATCGAGTCAGCTGGTCATGCTGATCATTTATGTATGATATATATTTTATAGGGCCTTCAACGTTTCCTTCTGGATGTTAAAAACTTCGTGGCATACTTAATATACCCTATTCAGGGTAACCTATATAATATGAAAGTAATATTGATTGATTGATTTATTTAAGCTATAAACAGTTCAACGAAAATTTATTGATATATTTTTTAAAAATTATTTACAGTCCAAATTTGAATTGTTGGAGAAAATTAAGAGTACTGGAGCTAAGAGTAACATTATAACCACTTCCAAATTGACCATACAGTTTTGCGATAAGGGTGATAAACCCAAAAGCGCTAATACAAATGTTCTTCCAATACTTATACATTCCTGTCCGGAGGATTTTTCAACCGTGGAATACTTTGATGTAAGTCAGATAAATATACATAGTTCATATATGTAAAATCAGAGAAATAGTATTTTATTACTGTTCTATGATTTTACAAATATAACAAAAATGTATGCTTAATGCATTTAACATAGAACTTCCTTAATATAGAATTTAAAAACCAAATATATTGGACGACTCGTCATTTATGCACCCTTTGTCAGTACCAGCATGAATGTAATAAGCGATCTGGAGCTAATAGACGGCATTGCGGTTTTGGTGCGTCAACAAACAGAAGGCGTCGGACGTAGCAATAATCAGGTGAGGACAATTTATTAGTCATGAAGTTAGCTTTTCTTCAGACTCAAACGTGGCTGGAATTTCAATTACTTGTATTTTCTCTGTGCAGTGGATTAGCCCTCTCGGTTGTGCTATGTTTTCGTTGCAATTACATTTGTCGTTGGATTCACCCTTGGGTAAACGTTTGCCATTGTTGCAACACATTATCGGTCTGGCTTTGGTGAATACATTAAAAGGAAATCCGACTTATAAGGTAAGGAATAACAATATTTCTATAAGTTGTATAGTGTTAAAGATTAAGCAAGAAAATCCTGAATCGGTCATAATGATGCTTAGTATAATAGACGCGCGTAAGGGAAATATAGTTTCTAAAATATTAAATTATTGCAGTAAATTGAACGAAAATAAATTGTTAGAAACCTATACTATCTGTATGAGAGCTCAATGAAAATACTACCTACCTTAGTCGAACCGAAAACTAATGCATTCCAAATCGAATGTTTGTAGTTGAGATTTACACATATGGTAATCATTATACCCTGAACAAGGTTATTAAGTTTAAAGTTTCTAACATCCAGAAGAAAACGCCGGAGGTACCATAAAGTATATATATAAATTATAGCGCGACGAGCTGACAGGATTTAGTCATATCCGTTTGTCTGTATATAATCGAATTAGTCTCTCAGTTTTGAGATATCGATCTAAAATTTTGCACACGTTTTTTTCTCTCCAAGAAGCACGTTCTTATATGGAATATTCTTTTATTTATCAAAATAATAGATTTATTATTCCAAATTAAGTTTTTGTATAAAAAGTTTATTTTTTTTATTGGTGAGGGGTATTCTCGTTTCGGTGCATAATGTTACAGTTTTTCTTGATATTTTTATACTCTTGCAACATGTACAGAGTATAATAGTTTTGTTCACCTAACGGTTATTTGTATCACCTCAAACTAATCGAGATAAATATAAGGTTATGTATATATGATCAGGATCACAAGACGAGTTGAAATTCGGATGTCTGTCTGTCCGTCCGTCTGTCTGTACAAGATGAAACTTAAGTAAAAATTAAGATATCCTAATGAAACTTGGTACATGTGCTCCTTGGAAAAAAGTGGATGGGCGTAATTGAACCACTGCCACGCCCACAAAACGACATTAACCTTCAGTTGGGTCTACGTAACCGGAACGGACCAGGATTTTTATCTGGCCAAGGACTATCAATTCGGTAGAATTCTGTCGCTACAACAACAACGACGCTGTAAAAATGGATGAACTCGGATGATAACCCCGTCCACTCCCCATATAACGGTTCTATTAAAAACTACTAAAAGCTCGATAAATCAATAAATAAATACGCCAAGGAAATTAAATTTTCAACCCAAGATGTTTCGATAATGCTTTATAGGCCTCTGGACATACGAGCCCGATATATTTGGTATGTCATATTACATTGACATATCGTGCGAAAATGGGCGAAATCGGACTCCGCCTACATCCCATATAACACAATTTTAAATTCCATCTAGTTCTTTCACTTCCCAGTATGCAAATCAATCACAAATGAATGTATCGGAATAAAACTTTGCCTGAATAGTGCGCTTAAAGTAGGCCTTCTGACCAAAAATTGTCTACTACAAGTGTTCAAGCCCCAGATACCGAATATGTGGACCCCAGTTCCTACAGCGAACATTTTATCGAAAATATCGGTCAATCTGTGAGATATGTTATTGAAATTCGGAGCAATCCTTTCCTAATAACAGTATGCTTGTATGTCAAAAATGAATTGAATCGGATGAAGGCATCTTTTAGCCATATACCTTATACACGAACTTCCGGTTCCATTATACCGCATATATATCGCAAATATGTTAGTTATCTTATTGAAAACGGACGAGCGTTTTTTTTACTAATAACAAGTATCTTTGCGTCTTAAATTAATAAAATCGGGTGAAAACTTGCTCTAACCCCCATGTAATTAATATCACGATTTTCGAACATCCGACTGATTTTACTCCATATACATATGTATATTGGTGATGGTAAGTGTACCTTAACGAAACTCAGGGAGCATATTATTAGTATATGGCATGTTAATAGTATGTAAGTGGTATTACCAAAAATTAATAAAATCGGGTTAATATATCTCTTAGACTTCATATACTTAAGATTTTCAAACTTTCGGTTGATCTTATAGTGCCGTATACGAGTTACTCCCACTCTCATATACTACATATCGTCACCTAAAATGCAAAAGAACGTATCATCAAAAGAATCGAAATTGAGCTTTTTGGTGATTACGATTCATTATATAAATACTCGTATATTTAGAAAGTTTTAAATCCATGCTATCAGATATAACTGAAGTATAACCAAAATTTAAAATAACGTATCTTTAATGGTATGCGTTTCGATAGTTCGTTTTTTCTTCTCCTGTAAACTTGTGAAAAGTGATGTTACGTTATTTTGCATTTTAGATGACGATATGATTTTCGTATTTTCTTAACGTTATGACGGCTATGTCGTTGTGTGTGAGTTATGTATATATAAAATTGCTTGAAAATATGTTCTCAAGTATACCTGGGCAATGTTCAATTTAACGCAATCAGCCCATCCCTTTCTCTGCTCCCAATATAGCATATATAATGATTTCCGACTTTGCTCCCGCCTTTAAACCGTATAGGTTGGTCAAAATGTGTTTTAATATAGTTCCTGAACGATTTAGGGGTGTTCTTGATTATCACCCAAGAGTGTTTATTCAGCCCTCCTTAAGTGAATACGACCGTTAAGTAGATGTAACTTTCAAAACCGAATTGCGCTATTTGAAACACAAGTTCGATTCGTATCAAGATCAGACCCGTCGGTGCCTCATTTCCTAATAATATATGAAGTTTAACAAGTGTTTAGCTCAATTATATTCATTTATTTCACCTTGCACAACTTTATCACATTTTAATGTTGTTTGGGTTCTCGTATCGGATAACAATAGATTAATATGTCATACATTTCATTCTCTAAATTCTTTTATATGCATAGGTACGTACATAAACAATTCAATTTTTTGTTTTAGATAATAAATTTTGGAATATGACTTACTTATATGTACATACACGTGTGTCATTATCATGTTTGCTAATCTCATTGGAATAACTGTCTTTTGGTTATCTATAAAATGTGCAGTAGTCATTTTAATTATCAAAATGTTATGTATTTACAATTGCTTTGTGTCGAAATAATATTTGACAATTATTATTTCTAACGCCACCCCCGACATTACATACTCACATATAATATAATCATAAAGATGGTTATAAAAAAATAAATGAAAAGCTACATTTGTACTTAATAAGTAATAGGAATTAAACAAATGTTATCCATCATGTACAATTTAATTTAAACACTTCATGTTATGGTCATTAAATCTATCCTGTATTTTTTTTATCAACAATTATTTACAATGATTATCAATTAATAATATAATTTCTTTGAAAATTGTACTTGACAGTGGTATATTTGAGTGACCCTACTTCAGGGTATATTTATATACGTACACATTAAGCATGTGCCTATACATTTAAACATAAATGTGTTCGCTTTTAATATTTAAATCTAGTTTACAATAATCTTTTTATTTTGTTTTTGTGCCACTTGCCAAAGTGCCATACTCAATTTATAATTATGTGTGTGCCTCAGTTCCTTTGGGTAGCCGCGCCTTTATTGAGGTACACAACATATTGTAGATTTGATTAAAATACTGACTCTGCGGAACGTGACAATTGTACGGGATGTGACGGGCTGCGCGCCAAACGTTTTTTCGGCAATCGCTCCAAAAGCGAGAGCAACTTTGCGAAATCTGGCCTATCGTCCGCTTGAAATGACCAGCAGTGCATAAGTATGTCTTTGACATCACGCGACGTCTGCAAGTTGGCTAATGTTTGCTTCATACCCCGTCCCACTTGCCAAATAACTGATTCCGGTGGCTGGGACTTGAATGGGAATTCGCCGCATAATAGCTCATACCACACTGTCCCGAATGAATACACATCCGATGTTTTTGAGAAGGGCAAAATCTCTTCGGTCGGCTTAACTGGCATTAGAGCACGCATCAGTTCAGGTGCCAAGTAGCACAGCCACCCATTGGGCACTCCTAGACCCATTTCGCAATATAGCAATTTAGTGGAACTGAATAGACCGAAATCGGTGATAATCACCTTTCCGTTCTCTAAGAAAATATTCTTTGTGCGTAAGTCCTTGTGATGAATGCCACGAGCGTGTAGATAGCCCATACCTTGTGAGATTTGTTGGGCTACCAGCGTTGTACGGTTGATGGTAAATTTATCGCGACGTGCGTGAATGTAGGTGTAAAGTGTATTGCCTTTACACAATGACGTAACAATGGCTAAATGGGGTGGGTTCATGCATGCACCCATAAATAGTACTAAATTTTCATGACGAGTCTTCTTAAAATTGGCCACTTCCAATTTAAATGCCTCTAACATGTGCTCATCGTCCAGGTAGTCTTCTTTGAGTAATTTAACCGCCACATCACCATGCCATAAGGCCCGATGTACGGTACCAAAGCGTCCCTTCCCGATTGATTCCAGCAAATGCAAATCATCATAGGGTATGTCCCATTCTTTTAGCGACAAAGAATTTTGTCGCGGCCAATTTCCCGAATCACCATCTTCGGTAGAATCTAATCTGATCGGTGTGCGATCAGAGTCAGTACTGGCTGAAGTACTACCCGACAATGAGACGGTTTTATCACTATCATTCGATTTGTGTGTATCGGCAAGTTCGGAAAATGGATCGCGCTTATCGACACCGGCTGAGCTGAGCTTACGCGGGTAAAACGAACCTGTTGTGCTGACAATGCTTGAGCTGATGGAATGTACGGTGCTGTTTGTGGAAGCAGTTACGGCCGGAACATTAGTAGAGCTATAATAAGATCCCACGCATGTAACTACAGTGTTGTTTGATAAACTATCACTGCCATGACTCGATTTGTTGATTGAAGATGTTAGTGAATTGTTGCCATCGTGTAAATCCGACTGCTGCGAGCAATTGAATTCGCCACTCGTCGAATCGGTTCCACTGTTTTGCGAGGAATACAGTGTTTGTGTAGTACCACCCGCAGCTTGATTACAGTTAGATGTGATGGTTACATCTGGAAAATTGAAAAGACTTGCGTGCTTGTGGAATGAGGATGGAGTGGATAGCATGTTGGAACTCGTACTTGAGCTACCACCACCGGAAGAGCTCATCATATTACCACCACTCGGAATAAAAACAGCTCCCGTATGTGCTGTTACATGCTGTTGTTGAAGATTGAATAGTGCTGGACTAGACGGACTTGAGCTATTACAACTCGAGGCAGGTGAACTGCTATCACGCTTTTGTCTTTGAATTGGTGATGTATTCGCTGTGGTCTGATTGTGTTGCATCGAAGCAAATCCTCCATGATCATTAATTGTTTTCTTAAACTCATCAACAAATTCGGAGGGTAGGCCACATGATGGTGGTACGTTTTGTTCACAGTCCTTATGACAACGATACTTGCATTCTCTGCACTTGAGACCGAAGAACATTTGTTTTTGACAAAGGTCACACGTTGACATAACCTGGAAGACCTTGGCAAAACGATGTGATATCGTGTGCCCCATGCCTAATGGCAATGTGCCCGGAGATCTTGGTACTTGAAGATTGTTTGGATTATTATTATTTTCTACAAAAACATCCGAGCTAGCAGACGAAAAACTATCAGGGCTCGGATCTGTGTTCAGGCGGGAACGTGACAATGTCGATTTGTTGTTTGTCATCATTGCTGCGCCAACTACCGATGACGCTAATGATTGTGATTGTGGAGATCCAGTACTTGACAATGGCGTGTCGCGAAATTGAGACCCATTTGATTTGGATTTGGCTAATGGTATCATTGTACCGTCCGGATTGCTGGCAGGTATATTGGAAACAATACTGGAAATATGTGTAGGCGTATGTTGTTGCATATTCGACAATAACGTCTGATGTTTTTTCATTGGCGGCGGTGTGCCAGCCGGTTTGCTACGTTGTGGTGTGCCATTCACACTGCTTCCTCCACTGCATATCGTACCGAAATTGCTGATTATACTAGTGGGTGTGAATGGAGAGTTCGGTGGGGATGGTGTTAGTGTCAGTGTTAGTGTAGAACCTTGTATACTAGACGAATCGTCAGTAGCATTATTGATTGCGGCAGTTGATGATGATTTGCAACTGTGATCGTGTGAAGGCGACTGACGACTATTTCCCGCTGATTGGTGATGGTGTGGTTTTCCTTGTTTGGTAAGCATTCGATGTGGTCGTGGCGAGGCTGTTACGCCGATATATCCCATACTGCTACGGTGATGGTGATGATTATGATGACGATCCCATGAGTCCCAAAACAATTGTTCAGTCAGAGGTTCTTTCTTCTCAATAGAAACATTATTTCCACCTATGGCGCTTTTGGTGGAGTTTTCAGTCTCCAGAATACTTAGGCTTTCTTTACATTTACGTAAGTTCTGCATAGCAGTTGTTAGCCTTCTTATATCTTCATCTTTTCGATAACTTGGATTATTGCTTAACAAATGCTTAAGTTCCTCATCACTCTGTTCGAGCAGTTGCTCTAATGTGGACAATCGAGTTAGGCAAATATTTGATGATTCTTGACTTATTCCCACAACTCGTAACCATTTTTTTAGCTCTGTGCACGTAGTATGAGGCAAACCGCTTGCTGGTATTCTTTCATTTAAACGTGACTTGCTTAATAACAATTTTGAGAACATTCGAACTAATTTTGACTCAAGACTACGAATTTCTTGCTGGGTTAAAGTAGCGCTTGTGGCACATTGAGTACGCAAACCCTCCAAACGATCTGCTGAAATGTCTATCATATCCTGTATGACATCAAGATCGTTGACCGGTAACGGTGCTGTGTCTGCGGATGGCGTGGTCATTTTTCGGGGGTAGCGATGGTGACGATGGCAGGGTGGAGTTCTATCCGGTTACTGCATTAAAATACAATATGTACATACTGAATTAAATTAGACGTGTTATGGAAATTAACTAGTACAATACTTCGAATGCATTTTGATATAATATTAAATATTTTTATAACTACGCATACATATGTACATATATACATTGTTTATATATTGCTGACACCCAAAATGCACTATTCAGACGGTATCATAATGTTCACACATTGTCTTTTTTTGATTTTGTTGTTTGTTTGCTGCTTTGGTTTCGGACGAAGTCGGCTTTTTGCCGCATATTGCTCGTTTCTTCTACCATCCGTCTTAACTACTTGTCTAGCATATCCTTAGATGGTAACGAAAAATGCGCAACAAAAAAAGTACAAGCCAACAATCGATTTTTCATTTGTATATGAATTAAGTTCGCAAGTGTAGAACAATGGCTTAAAATACGAAATACAAAATAGTAAACCATTGCGTTACACCTGCATATGCAACTATATATGCAAAATGAATTCGACGCCAATTCTGGTAACATTGTAATAACAAATACGTTCTTTTTTTATTTGATATAGCACAGATCATTGCGACTTCCAGACAATGTTTGAGAAATACATTTATTATTTGTATAATGTATATATATTAGATATTATATTCTATTATTTGAACACATTTCAAAAGAATTTCACTTACTTCTTCTTTTAAAGCAACTTTGTTATAGGCTGCTTTTTTAAGAAAAAATAAACGTAATTTTTCGGTAAAAACTCGTGCTGAAAAATTTGTAGTATTTTAAAGACAACTAAACTAGCGAGTAAGTACAATAGCGATTACACGAATATCAGCAATAACAGAATGTAATAAACGAGCTGCCACATTATTCATAAATGCTTTATGACAATACTAATGTTACATGCACACTAACTTTTCCCCCATATAAATGATAAGTATTTAAAATTCATAACTTGTTTTCTCTTTAAAAGGATCTTGACATTCGTTTAAAATGGCCCAACGACATTTATGCAAATGGCCTGCAAAAGATTGGTGGCCTTATTGTGAAAACAACAATGTTTGGTTCGAAAATCATCGCAAATATTGGATGCGGAATCAATTTAGATAATGAAAAACCTACAACTTGTATTAATTCCATGATTGGAAAATATAATCAAACAAATCGTACGAATATATCAATTCTTAAATATGAAGAATTCATTGCGTTAACATTTAATGAAATTGAAATCATCCTAGAGAAGGTGAAGTCCGGCGATTTTGATTACTTTTATGATCTTTATTACGAACATTGGCTACATAAGTATTATTTGCACTATACTTTTTTGTATTAATATATATCATACTTAATTTTTTATAGTTTACAAAAGGTAAATATATGCGACAAGTTCGGAAGCCAACAAGAGGCGACTGTCATTGGTATTAACGATATTGGTTATCTCCAAGTTAGGACAGTTGACGGTACAATAGAAACAGTTCAACCGGATGGAAACAGTCTTGACATGCTGCAGGGACTAATAGTGCCTAAATATAATTGAAATAATTGAATAGAAAGCAAAAGCCTTTTACGAATTATGTTCTAAATTCATAAAATCGCTATTTGTTAAAGTGCATTTGAAATCTATTTAATATATAATACAAGTGTTGTTTCTTAGGTATGTTAAAAAAAACTAATATAAGGCTTACTAAATATTTGTTAACAAATTTGCCATGACATTGAGAACTATTTACGAATATAGACTTTGAAAACCAAAAAAATTAAAAATATGGAATTTGTATATCGTATCCAACTACTAGAAATTAGTTTATCTAAAGAACTATAAAATCAGTTCAGCGTTAAGCAATATAATAACAAAAAACAAAATTAATAACATAATTGGTCTGATATATAATGTTAAATATGTGAATTACTTAGCTGATCATACACGATATTTTGTTAATGTGCTTATGATATATATTTACTTATTTTAGATTATATTTACTTATTTTAGATTATATTTACTTAGTTTTGATTATCAATTATTTATGAGCTTTTGCACGAACGTGAACTACAGTTACATATATGTCTTATTATAAAATCGACTTTTTTTATTTCTTGTTATTAGGTTTTACTTAAACTATAAAATATTTTTTGTATTTTCTGTTAGTAAAGAGCTTTTTACTATTAACCGTTCTAGCATATACAATTTTGTTCCTTGTTCTTACTTTCATATTTAGTAGGCTATACAGAACTTAGCATCATAGTCTATTAGTGTAGTTAGCCAAATATAATAATAGATTTTGTATAGCTTTTTTTAGTTAAAAATATAAATGTATACATTATTATTACGAAAATAATACATATATATTCTAATATATAAGCTTGATATTCTGTAACGCCTATAAATAAAGTGTTAAAAACCAAATTCCAGATATAAAATTCAGATATATTAAGAGAAGAGTTTTTCTTAACAAATCAATAATTTGATTTACCATTATTAACGAAGAATAAAAATATTAATTTCAATCACTGAAGTTTGGAATAATTTTCCTCGACGGACATCAATGTACTTGTGTAAAAATTGCTATGGGATTGTGGGGGTAAGTTTTAGTAAATTTGCGTAAAATAATATTTTTAAATATTTACTTTGTTGTTGGTCTCCCACATACTGTGTAGGGTTAACAATGGAAACTTTTTACCTTTTAAACTGAAGTTCTGTGGAGACTACAACACTGTTTGCTTGAAATGTCATTCGTATTTCTCTTATCCATATTTCGCAGATAAATTTTTTAGTCTGTGAAGTAAAATTGCATTTTATATGTGGCTATTTGAAAGTTTTATTGTAAAGATAATGCTCATGTAATACAAATTTCCTTCAAATATTAGAGGAATTCACAAATAAAAATTATTCTACCAAGTGTAATTTTGTTGTAATAATTTATGTAAGATTGCATATATATACAAATATGTGCATGTAAAGTATCTGGATTTTCCTTTAAATATAAATAGATCAAATGTATATAAGAATCCTAAAGTTAAAAAATTTGTGCGTGTGTCTTGTGAGTGGCTGTAGGAAGGACATTGATTAGAGGTTATATTAATAAGCTTATAGCTATACGAGAATAAAGAGGAGACACGAACATGGCACAACGCAACAATGCACGCATCGATCGCTTTGCTCAGATGACAAAGCAGGAGGAGATAATAGCAAAGAAACGACAGGAGATTTTGGAGAAACAAAGAACAGTGCAACTGGCCAAAGCAGTGGCAGCAGCACAGACTTTAGCTGCAAAAATGAAGTCAGACATTAATGGTACTGAAACAACTGAAGTAATAAATGAGACGTGTGTGGATATTAAAAAAGATGACACTTTACTTTCAACGTCAATTATTGCTGAGTTGACACCTAAAGAAAAGCCATCCACCAGTGATAAAAGGTTTGCATAACAAATTAGTATTCATTCAAATATTTTAACATTTACAATTTTGTTAGCGATTCGTTGGTAAAAAGTAAAAAGGAGGAAGTAGCTGACTCAACCACCGCAAAATCGTTAAATTGTTTCACGGGAAAAACTGGAAAAATATCATTTGGTTTAAAACGTTTACAGGCGCCAGTTACTGAACAACCACCACCAAAAGTGGTTAATTCTTTCTGTAATGATGGGTCATTTTTGGAAAACTTCAAAAAAATTTTAGAGAAGCATGAGCCAAAGCAAACACAGGTTATATCAACGTGAGTATATCAGAAGTTAAGTTGCATTTTGCACATTTGTATATGTTTGTTTATTTATAGTCCAGAATCAAATGCGGATTCTGCAATACCTGATCAGCCATCTGCGACTCAGCCCAACGAAGACGGTGTAGTGGAATCGAACAGGTCAATAGACTCGCCTGCGCAAGGTCAGCACGAGATTGTGCAAAAATCTCAACAACAATCCATTTCACAATCAAGTATACAACAATCTCTGTCGCACCCAATTGTGTCGTCGATGACTCCGGCACCAATGCAGCTTATGCGGTCAATGCAACCGCAACAACAAACACAGCTTCAGCAACTTCCAACGCACCAACATCAGCCACAGCCATCAATCCAACAACAATCGGGGCAAACAAGTCTTTTGCACCCACCTCCACCAGCTCAACCACCATTTCTTTTTAATCATCCACCACAACCGCCGCCTGTGCCACCACCCCATCCTATGCCGGGAGCATTTTTTGCCGCCGCTCCGCCCCCTCCCCCTCCACCTCAGCTACCCATGGCTTTAACCTTGGGGCCGCTGTATATGATACCAGCGCCTGAGCCTATGCAACTGAATACCATACCGGCGCCAAAGGAATTTGATTTGAATGCCATACCTAATCCACAGATGAACGTGGAGGCAATTCAAATGCCACACGGTATACAACAGCGACATCATCAGGTATTGCAAGCACAACAACCACAACAACACGATCAAATGCTACAAATCCAACCACATCAACAATTGCAACAAATGCAAAAACCATTAAGTGACCATACAAAACCTCCACCGCCACCTCCGCAACTGCCGCCACAGTTGCAACAATTGCAAGGTCAACTGCCGCCACTATTACAACATGCACAGCAATTTCCAGCAAACCACCCGCACCAACAGCAACAACAACCACTATCACAGCAAACACCGCCACCACCTCCACCACCGCAGCAACAACAAGTCGAAGATCAAAGCAGTCCCACTCGAAAAGCAGGTGTGTATTAATGGGCAATTCTTAAGTAATGTTGGGAAAAACGCCAATTTGTTTATGTATGGATATTTCTCGTGCCTGAAAGCGCCTTAACCGTATTCGACACATTCAAATAGGTGTCAAAAACAGTTATAATTAGATTTGCTTCTTAAACGATATGTCATTGGATTATTATTTGAAATTAAGGCTGCTTCAGTGTGCTATTTAACTGTGGGTAAACTAAGGCATCTTTGTTTTTTAATTCCAGTTTTCTTATACATACATACATACATAAATTTTTTGGTGCCTTCTTCGCTAAGCTTGATTTTAAAGGATTTTATGTAGTTTTTTCAGACAACAATGACCACAGTTGCTCGCGCATACAGTTACCAACAACTGTTGAACACTTAATCGAGTTGGTTGGCGAAAATGGGGATGGTTATGAAGATAAAATACGTTCGCATAAAAACGAACTGCATCCGGCATTGTGGTAAATTTTGTTGTTTTGCATATTCATACTATGTATTTTTTTTTTTCTGTTTGTGGTAAAAAACATATACCATGCATTTACGGAAAACGTAGTATTAGTAGATATTTAAAGGGTTAGGTGTAGTCAGAGACATGAAAAAATTACAATTCTAAATATTTCTTCTTTGCCAGTAAATTATTTTATTTTATAAAAGTAAAAATATAGCATACTTAAATAAGATTTCGACTTGACTTGATAGAAATTAAAAAAAAATAATAATAATTTTAAAAGTAGTGGTTGTTTATGTTTATCCAGTCCCAACCGAAGCTTCTTGCGTTGACCAACACTAGTCGACAAAAAAATAATAACTTTATTAGTGATAAGCTATGGTTATGAGCTGGCCAAACCTTTTTTTTAATTAACAAAATGACGCCCTCGGGAATGTTTTTCCAGATTTTCCAACCAAAAAACCAACAGTTGCTAAAAAAATCCTTCGATTAAGGCACTAATTTTTCATGGTTTCAAACGGTGGTCACCAGTTCAAAAAATAGTTTTAGGAGTTTTAGGAAAAACGCATTTGAAGTTTTCTTATCGAATAACTCGTCATTCCGGATTTACTTCGATTTTTTTTGATTACCTCTAGTCCCTTAAATGCAACGGGAATGCGCGAGGGCAATATACGGCTTCAGCCGTGCATAATGGACATAGAAACACATGCTAAAAGCTTTAGCGTACAGCTAATTCTTCCAAAAAACATTCATTCTAATTGCTATTTGTTTGTCTACAAATGGAATCGGCCCGGATTTTTATCCAGACAAGTACTGTAAACTCGACAGCATTTCTCAAAGTTAGTTGGGGAATGTTTTCTGCCGCTCCAACAACAATAACAACAACATACATATGTACATATGAAAAAAATTCGATTTACTTGTTTTAAGTTCTGTAAAATACTGTTTTTGAACATGTTTATTTGCTTATAAAAGTATGTGTAGCTGAAAGTGTGAAAGCTAGTCTAAAATGAAATACATGGTTTGTGGATATGAACATTTTTGTAATGTGCAACGAATTTACCACACATTCTGCCTCGTTTTGGAGAAATAAAACAACAGCAACTATTAACGGGATATCAGCGTGAGTCAGCGTTTACCTCAGGACATTCTGTGAATGAGAGTAGAGTGCCAACGTTTTCGTTTATGCGAAAGCGTCCAAACGATTAAATTAAAATGCGTGTAAAATAATTAAAAAAAGGCATCTAAGCATTGATCACAGGACAAAATCGATATATGGTACCGCCAGCGCTACCGTTAATATATAAAAATGTTTTTTTTTTCGATTTATGTTTGTTTTCATTATCGATTTTATTCGAATTTTAATTTAGGTTTCTGTTTGAAAAAAATTGCGAGCAATATCACAATTACCGGCAACAATTGAATGGACATCGTCGCCGCAAGCCACACGATCAGCAGATGCAAGGGCACAGTCAACAGCAATGCAAATCGCCAAAGCAACAGCAAAGGTCGAATCAGCCGCTAACGCGCTCCGATAATCAAAATCCAATTGAAGTGGATGAGGATTCCAGCGACAGTGGCGAGCTGCAAGAGCACCAACAGGAAGCGCTTTACCGCTACCATCAGAAGCAAAGACAACAGCAACAACAGCGTGAACAATCATCGCCACAAGGTGTGAACGAACATGATGCAGCTGATAAATATGACCCAGAGTCGGCTATAAGCGGTGATGTGGACTCAGATGACGAATACATGCGCGGTATGTTGGATCGCAATCGTGATAATTTAAAGCGTCGCATTGAGTGCCGCAATGAGCTGAGTGAAGAAGAGCGTCAAGAACGTGAAGCTGAAGCTGAGTTGGAGGAGCAACGTCGCCAAGAGCGCAAGAAGCAGCGCAAAAGTCGCTGGGGCGAGAAAGTGCTGGCGTCCACCAGCGCCGGTGCCCCTTCAGATACATTGTCAAGTGAGCAAAGCCAAAGTGTGATGATATCTTGCACATTTTATTTAGTAATGCTAATTTAATTTTTTGTTTTAGATGTACCTACTTCATTTGCCAATCAAAATAAACCGATGCTGTCCGCCATAACACGCAATGATCCAGCATTGCTGCAATATGCGCGTCTTAATTATGGTTCCACTAATCTTAGCGAAGAGGACTGGAAGAAGTGCGAAGAGCACTATAAAGTGAATTTGTTGTATCAGGACATGATGCGAAAGCGACAAGAGATCGATCGTCTCGCACGTAGCGGCAAATTTAAATATGAATACGACTCGGATGAAGACGTCGATGGTGGCACATGGGAGCATAAACTACGTTGCGCTGAGATGGAAGCCACCAAATTATGGGCAACAGCATTGACGAAACAAAGTGAGGGCAAACATCATATTGGTGACTTTTTGCCACCCGAAGAACTAAAGAAGTTCATGGAACAATATGAAGCGAAGAAGAGTAACCGTCAACCCGATTTGAGCGATTACAAGGAGTATAAATTGAAGGAAGACAATATTGGTTTTCAAATGTTACAAAAATTAGGCTGGAAAGAAGGACAGGGTTTGGGCACAGATGGCGCCGGTATAGTTGATCCAGTTAATAAGTGAGTTTGAAAAGAATTATATTTATGAAGTTTGTAACATCCAGAAGGAAACGTCGAATACCCTATAAAAAATGTAAATAAATGTCTGTCTGTGTATATGCGAACTAGTCCCACAGTTTTTGAGATATCGATTTTCACGCCTCCATTTCGCCCAAAGAAGTTGCTCATTGCTCGAAAAATCTAATATCAGACATTATAGCATACATATAGCTGCCAAATCAAGTTCTTGTATCGAAAACTTTTTTATTTGACGAGATATCTTCATTGAATATGGAAACTTTTTTGATTGTGAAGGGTATTATAGCTTCGGTGCAACCGAAGTTAACTATTTTCTTGTTTTGTTCTCGCACACGTTTCTAATTATATTTATATAATACTTGTAAAAAACAACTAAATTTAAGCTTAAAAATTACTTTAACCTTTAAGGGCACCGCAAAGGGACGGTAACCAGGGTCTGGGTGTGGCCAGTGCCGCTACGCCTGAGGATTGCGACAATGAATATGATGCATACCGTAAACGCATGATGTTAGCTTATCGTTTTCGACCCAATCCACTGGTATTTTCTTTTTTTTTAAATTTACTGAATTGATAATTTCTATTACGCCAATTTTTTTTACAGAATAATCCTCGTCGCGCCTATTATTAAACGGAAATGCGGGCACATTATTCGCAAAAGGTTGTGGATGGAGTAAAATTTTTCAGTCTTAATGCGATTTACAAATATATACTGATATTTATGTACATTTACGTATTAACTATGACGTAAAATATCCTTTAATCCAACAAGTTCTCTTTAAAACGACAAAGTGTAAAACAATTATTCATGCATAAAATACGAAGTAATTACAGAATACATATTTGGTATTTCCTTGTTGATGTAAAATAGCAACACTTTTTTATTTTCAATATTCCATTAATATTTTTTCATTTGCTGAGCTTATCAAATTACAAACTAATAATACTACAAGCAAAAATGAATATACTCTTCAATATCTATGCATACAAACGTATGTTGTAATAAGTGCCTTAGTTATTGATGTTGTTGTAGTCGCTTTATAAAACGTCTTGTGTGTGTTTGTACTCGAAACTACGAATAAAATGTCAAAACAGGCGTTTGATTGCCACGAGCCAGAACTACAGGACATTTAATATCGGTGGTAAGCATCTCCAGCCATGACATGTATAACGCAGCTGATATTGCTTCCTGTGAATAAATATCAAAAATTAAGATGTTTTTTGGATTTCTGCAAATACGCACCCTACGCGGCATAGGCAGAGACATAACGACGAGTGTCGCCTTTGACGAGTGCTCCACAACTAATTCATGTATGCGTAGCTGACGTTGAGTCTTCTCTTCCAACGAGTGCAGCTCTTCTTCAAGATGACGCATTTCATTGACGGAGTTGTGACAATAACTCTGTATGAGCTGTCTGTGCTTTACGAGCGTGTCCATGCGTGGTTTTGTTGACAGGCCCTTAAGCATTATTAGTTCGGAAAATTTGATGCGGAATTTCTTGAGTAGATTGGCCATGCTGTAGATGTACATGAAGATATTTAGAATAATAATAATACCAAGATGCTGGGTCTTGTGACTACACTTGTCGTTACTTACTTCTTTTCCTCCATTTCCTCGTCCTTGCCGTGACTCAATGCAAATACGCGTAATTTACAATTTTGGTAATTTGAACGTAGTGAGAGTATATATGGTAGCAACATAGTTAGACCTACAAACAATTGAAAAGATTATTGGGCATTAGCAAAGTAAATTTTTACAGAGAATCTATATTTACCGCCATCATCGTAAAGCCAGAAAACGTCTATGGTACCCTTGGGCTGTTTGCGCAGGAATATCGTCACAGCATCGAGCACATCTTTTGGTACTTCGGAACCACCTTTCGTTAGGTACTTTATACCGTCACCCTGACTTACGGTATACTTACGAGAACTCGTCATATTGGGAATAGATGGCACATTTGACACTGTGAACGACGAATTGGTGCTGTCAATGCCAGCCAAATTCAAATTAGAGTCCACATGCAGCAATTCCGAAGCGACATTTGCGCTCGGCATTAACGCATTCGTATAGCCCAGTTCGTTAGCATTATGCATATGTCGGCCATTAATCGGTATTTCGGGATTCAATTCGGAAAACTCCAAGCCATTCGGTAGACGCAGTATAACCACGCCCATGCGCTGCGAAAAGGTATTGCTGAAAGGGCAGTTATGATTTGAATCAATATGCTTAAATGAAGCATACACCACCTCACATACACTTCAAATTCAAAGATACTCACTATAAAATATTGAAGTAACTTTCCACGCACTGTCGACGACATTGCACCCAATCGGTTTTGTAGCCCATCAAGACGATGTTCGGTGTTAACTTGCCAAAGCCTGTGGCTTTAATTAGCGCATTAACGCCTTCTTCCATGGACAGACCATCGATGACATTATAGAAAGATTTAATTTTACGCGCATCTAAATACTTCTGACCATCCTTTATGACACTCAAACGGTTTTTGTAGCCCATATTCATCTATAAGAAAAGCTAAACGTTACAAGAGATTCTCGGCTGTCTTAGAAACGTCCCGCCAATAGACTTACCGGGACAACATTGCCGATAAACATCAGGGAATTGTGTCTGGTGAGCATGTTGCCGAAGTCAATTAGCGGTGGGCGACTGCTTGGATCGCCAGAGAGCACCAGTATTTGTGGATGGTAGTTTTTCACGTGATCGGAGACGTTTTGCAGACGATGAACGGCGGTTAGTGTGGCCTTATATTGTTGCTCCTGCGTTGAGGAGCCCCAGTTAGCTTCTGGCTTGCGATACATAACGATTAGGTAAAGCGCAAATATAATTACTAACGTGATGAGAGAAGATTTCCAATCGATTAGGAACATAATCGCAATGCAAAGTATAAAGCCAAATAAGCTTAGCCATGTATTGTAATACTGAAATATAGCAAAAAAAAAAAAAATTATCGTTAAATCAATCTCCTCTATACATCGACACTCACCTTAAATGTTGGTCGCCAGCCGAGAGGTTTTACGAATGATGCATGGAATGTGCAGAAGTTAATTAAGGCGTAAGAAGCCAAATAAAAAGTTGAAATAAGTGGAGCTATTACGTTCAGCTGGCCGATAAGTAAGAATCCTGCCGATATGAAGAAGGTAAGCACGTAACCACGGTAGGGCTCGCCATGTTTGCCATAAGGCTTGGAAAAGAAAATCAAACCGGGGTATATGCGATCTATTCCCAAGGCTTGAACAAGGCGCGGCACTGAAAGTATGTTAGTTAGTGCTGTACTCAAAGTCGCAGCGAAGCAGCCGGCGTAGATAAGTGGACCCCAAATGGACATCAGTTGCATAACTGAGTATGAGTTGTGCAGGCCATATTGGCAAGTCTGTAAGCAAGCATGTAGTTATTATGTGTAAGAATGCTTTTGCAGGTAGTCCCGATTACCGAAGATGTCTCGGCAAACCGAAACGATTAGATTAGATCTTCGATAGTCCAAGATCGTGGAATTATACTGTTTTCTCTTATTACTATGCTGTTAAACTTCATATAAAATTTTTTATTACCATATCGAGATCAACAGTGCAAACGGTTTAACTGATTTATTTTCAAAATTCTATAAATTGCCAAAAATTACTTTGCATACGCTTAGGCGCTTACCAAGTTCTCTTTGCACGCCAATTCTGAAGTGATTAATGTGCCATTGATCAAATCGGCTACATTACCGGAGGCATCTCGTGCCGCTGCACCGCCCGCGAAAAAAACGAAAAGCGCATACGAAGCCATTGAAATCATCAGGGCCCAAAATGTGCCCTTAGGTATAGCTGCACCTGGATCCTTTAAGTCGCCGCATATATTCGCACCCGCTTGTATGCCGGTCACACTGGGAAAGTAAATAGAAAATACACTGAAGAAGTCCTGATTAACGCCCTCTGAAAAGCGATAGTCACCGCCAAAGTTTTCCTTAAAATTACTCCCTGAAAAGTAGTACATCAATTAAACACTCCTTGACTGACTCGACTTGAGCTTAATTAAAATAACTTACAAGAGAAGCCAACAAAGCCTTTTGCGATTGCTTCCTCATCGCCACGCGGCCCAATAGCAGCGCCAATAAGGAAATTGAAAATAGCCAAAACTATAGTTACGATCAAGAAATTTTGAGCCTTCGACTCCCACTCCATGCCCACGCAGCAAATGAGAATCAACACCACTATCGTACACACGCCAACGATGCGAACATCATTAATGCCTCCATCGATAATCTTCAAGCCATTACTTTCTGTTTAAATGGAATAGCAGTAATAATAATCATTATATAATAAAAAAAGCTCGCTACTTTTTAACACTTACTCAATAAATCGTTTAATGAATCACAGAAACCGATAGTGTTCATGGAAGCAGCGACGGCATTTGCGAATGCAAAGACAACACCAACCGATGCGCCAAACTCTGGGCCCAGTGAGCGTGAAATTATGAAATAGACACCGCCTCCCTTCACCTCACCATTGGTGCTGATTGCGGATAATGAAAGTGTGGTGATCACACAAACCACCGCCGAAATGGCGATAATTATTAGTGATTGCATTATACCGGACTCGGCGACTACCCAGCTGAGACGCAGGAACAACATGACACCCCAAATATTGAGTAAGCATGGTATGACGACGCCATTAATCCAGCCTAATTTGATCATATTGCTATTGCTTTCGGGTGGCGGATCAGGCATCTGGATGCTCTGTGAGAGAAAAAATAGTATTTATACAAGTATGCACATTTTTAGGTATATAGCTTTATAAAGAAGAAGAAGCACGATCCGCGGTTTGCTATCACCTGCCGAAGAACGAACGCAACTAACTGGGAAAAATCTTTATGATGTTAGTCAGAATGAGGAATCACTACATCTCGGTGTGGTTCTTATATAGACTAGCTATACGAGTATATGTAGAGATTACAGGACGTACAGGTTATGTAATTTCTAATCCTGTCTGTTCAACGAGAGAGACACGAAAAATACATTTTGTGATTGCGAACAATTAATTGTCTTTCATTGGTTGGGTAGTCGCAGTAAACTATGTTAAACAAGCACACGAATTTCGCTTTCGTATTATTATCCGCCTAAGGCGGACAGCCATTAGAACTTTGGCTGGACTTAACTTCTCGCAAAGAACTATCAATTTAGGAAAAGGCTACGTATTCTTCCATCATGAAGAACATAGTACATCATGAGGTAAGAGTTATATACTTAGATGTGAACTTTTAATATTTTTGGAGTCGTGTTATGGAACGAAAACTCATTCTGCATATTCAACAAGAGTTTCATTCTTGCGATTAGTTATTGTCTCCGAACCGCAGTGCTAGTCGTGTGTCGATGACTTAATTTTCAGATTATCTTTATAAGTACACTATTAAAATGCTGAGCCCTTCGTGCTAGTCAATTCCAATAACGAGCTTTCTAGTTCTACGGTTTGTCGACTGCTCTAATTCTATTAGCAAACGTTTCATTAGCAAGTGTTAAAGCAAAGTAGAACAGTAATTTAAATGGTATTGCTAATAGGTTCAATTGATGGTGATTACGCCAAATTGGGCTTTTGTGATCCTATAATATATATATTGTATATAAGTGATCAACGTGATGAGCTGAGTCGTTTTAGTTATGTCTGTTTGCCTTGTAATCGCGAACTAGTCCGTCAGTTTTTTTGACATCGGTCCGAAATTTTGTACACGTTCTTTTCTCCCCAAGAAGCTGCTCATTTGTCGGAACCGCCGATATCGGACCACTATAGCATATAGCTGCCATACAAACATACCGTTGAAAATTAAGTAAAGTTTTTGTAGAAAACTTTTTTATTTATGAAGGGTATTATAGCTTTGGTGCAATCGAAGTTAACGTACTTTCTTGTTTTGTTACAATTTCACAAAATGTATTTTAAGCACATGTACATACATACATATATAATACCACATCATCATGATTGCCACGATATTTGAAATATCAACCGAAAAATCAATTTTTGGGTAAGATTTGCACATGAGAGGAGATTGATATTGCGTGCACCTCTATTTTACTTATATTTTCTAAGCCTGGTTTAAAGGTTAATAAAAGTATTATATTTAGAGAAATTTGGAGAAAAAGAATAAAGGCCGCTTGTATAATGTTCTATGTAGTACAAGTACAAAGTAGCTACTTCAATTAAAGAATTCAGAAAATGCTATGCTTAAGTTTTTGTTTTATCAATTTTTACACTAAGAGAAGTCAGTGATGATTTATAGTGCACTGAAATCTCCGACAACAATTAAACAATTACAAATTTGATTTACAAACTAAATGTTGCTCATACGTCTTGTACACCACTGGAAAATACGTAAACATTAATGCTGATATGAATCGGACATATGTATGTACTTGTATGTTTATGAGTACCATAAAGCATTTAAATTTCAATAATAATAATTGCATAGCTTAATACATATGTATGTCCGAACATATATAAATACATAGGTAAGAATGCGTATGTACGTATGTATAAATAGTACATTTGTATAGATTTTTCCAACAAAAAAGTTATCAACTACTCGTTAGAATTATAAACAATTCGTCACCGCGGAATGGAAGCAAATTTAAATTAATTAACGCAAAGTTAATGAATTTTGATTAGCATCGTTAGATCATCTGGCGATAGACGCATACACACACACACACATACACATACCCTTACTGGACGTAACAATTCGCATCATTTGGCTATTTTTTGTTGTACGCTTTGGTGATAATGATCATAACTACATATACTAATTTGCAACGTGGTGCTAATAGTCGCTCAGCTAAAGGAAATAAGTAGTCAGGCAATGAATTGCCAATTGTTGCGCATATTTTTGCACTTTTGTGTGTATGTGCTTTTGTTTATATTGCGTATGGATTTAAGTGGGTGTGCTTGTGTGTTGTGTTATTTTTTATTTTTGTGCACTAAATTGCTTCTGCGCTTAAAATGATCGCATCACTTATTAAAAAACTAATTGTGAGAGTTTAAAAGTCTTCTGCTATGTACGTACGTATGCATGTGTGTATGTGCGTGTGCTTGCATGTGTGAATTATATTTGTGATGTCAGCACTTATGCAAATATTTATTAACTACTACAATGTCAACGAAAAATCAATGAGAAGTTAAGTCGACTGTCTGTTTATACGCGAACCAGCTCCTCAGTTTTGGAGACATATGGTAGAATTGAACAATTGTACACGTCCTTTTTGTCGAGTTTTTGTAAGGAAATCATTTCTCTTTGACTTGACGAAATTTGGCCAATTCTATTCGGCATTTCGCCAGTACAACATTCAACTGGCTAGCTTTGGTCAATTACAACAAAACAAAGCACGGCAGATGCAGACGCATAAAATAATCAAATAACAAACACTTGAGTGCTTTTGGTCGTTGGCAGTTACGTGAATATCGAACATGCCATCAATATGTTAAATGACTGACAGAACCAGATATAACCAGAAAGATAGCAATATGCGGACGCATGTGGAGTGGACATAAATTAGAACGAAAACACACACTAAACCAAATAGGTTTGACAAAAAAAATATACATATGTATATAAAATGGAATAAACGACATTAAAGATATACTTCAATGTGACAATCAATTTTTCAACGGTAACAATTAGTCGTGATGCTAATACTGCCACTGATATTATCAAAAGTAATTTTATGAAACAAAATAAATAAGTAAAATCAAGTACTCGTACAACACGTTGTTTGTTAACAAATCATACATATATAATATATTTGTATAAAGGAAGTTGAGTAAATATCATGGAAGGATGATTCATCAAAACTTGTAAAGAATGGAGTAAAGAACTGACAGATAAAGATAGAATACACAATTTTCGTCTTGTAGGTAGGTATTTATTAATACTATAGTGACCACAGAAATATAATTTTTAAATCGACATATGTACATGCCCAGTATATGAGCGAATGGGTCCATTATTATTTAAACATACTTATCAAGCCGTCTTATATAATATCACTAACGCTTTCATTCCTTAACATTACTCCTTTAACATCTCCTTATGTGTAGCTTTTTGAGGCTGATAAGAAATATAGGCGATTAGGCGAAAAGGAGTGACAAGTAAATTAGTCATAAAACACAAAAAACGCATGTAATTCTGCGCGTATTGATTGCTATTGAATAGCTAGTCATGAGTAAACTCTCTAATTAAGTTATCCTTCGATTAGAGAACAAGTTTTTTCTTTATTTCATTTATTAAAAAGTAAGCCAATGCCAAAATTCAATATCATTATTAATATAAAGTAAACAATAAGAAAAAAACGATAATTTTACATTTGAAAAATAAAACGACCAACTTCAAATTTCAATGCTTTTTGTTTAGTAAGTGAAGGAGATGTTGCTCATACGTCCAGCTCATCGGATTCATAATAAGGTGATTGCGATAATTTCGAATTAGACAATTATTATAGTAGTAAGCCATAAATTCTCAAAAGAAAAAATGGTATTGTTTTTTTATATACGAAGTCACAAGTAAATCAAGAATTTTTATTTATGGAAACTTAGTGATCCTACATCCGTTTATTTGAGATTATCGTATTCTTCTTTCCAATACTTCTAACAATACAAATGTTTGATTGTAATGAATAGATCGTTTTAATCGTTCAGTTTGTATGACAGCTATATCCTATAGTTTCTCGGGCAGAAAAGAACGCGTACTTAATTTCAAATCACTATCTCAAAAACTGAGGGACCAGTACGAGTGTGTACAGACGGACAGACAAACGTACACTGCAGCATCAACTCAGTTCGTCACGCTGATCATTTATATATGTATGGGGCTCTTTATAGGGTCTGCGATATTTCTGGTGGTTTTTTGATTAAACTTAATTTTTACTTAATTCAAAAACTTTTGTAACGTATAATAGGTCGTAGATTCATTGGTATATCTTCTATCAATTTCTGTGCAATTTTGTTTGAAAACTCATGACACTTCCCGCCCGCTCTTTTCATCGCTCTACCAAGTAAACATGAATTATTCGGTATTTTAGCAGCCCTCTTATGTGATATACTTTCGCATTTATATATTGTATTATCCCTTTAAAATCCCGGTCGAATTTCCTTAACATGGGTAGTTGCCGTTGGCGATTGTAATATTTTTAAATATGTTTGCTGGTGACGTTTGTTTATTATTGACTTACCTGCTCTTGCAGCTCCCCATGCAGTTCTCCAATCGATGGTCGCTTCATATTACGTTTTGATATTCTGTAATTATCTAATCTGGGCAATGCTTCCCTGTAAAATGAGATTAGTGTGAATTTATTAGTATTGACAAACCAGCGGCAATATAAAATTAGTTTTTATTCAGTTCACAGTTTTAAAAAGATATTATGGAAACAAAGTGATTTATTAGTGTGAAAATAAAATACAAGTATATTATTAATAGAACACTCTTACAAAAGCGAATGAGAGCCTCCAAAACAGTGTTCGCTACAATGTTCTTACTGAGATTGCCTTCTGATGAATTGCTTAGTATTGCATACAACACTTTATCTGCACAATGATACAATTATTATGGAAAGAATTTTTAAGATACGTAAGGAATCAACTCCTCTTTAACGGTCTTTATGTTTTGGACGACGTGGTGCATTTGGGTCCATTTATGACTTTTAAGAGAGCTTAAGGTACTCGTCTGTGTGCTCGTATTTAGTAGCCAATAAGCATCTAATGCCTAACTACCACAATAACACTCACATTTATGTTCATTGGCAGGTGGGAATTGCAAAGTAACTGTGTCCGCGCCTGCTATTAAATTATTGTACATCATAATAAAATGTGTAACAAAGTTAGGTGCTATATGCTCAAAACTTGTTTTTAACTCAAATCATTCATATAGTGATCCTTTAATTGTAGCCGCAGACTACATTATTTTGAAAGTCCAGTACAATAGGGCTTTAAAATTATCTGCAATTTTATACTTGATAATTTTCAAAATCTTTTTAGAAATTCTCTCAAAGAAATGCAATTTAACTTCTAATACGAGCATTCTTAGTAAGAGTGAATCGAAGAAATAAAAGTATAAGTGTACATTTTTTTACGAAAAACTACTTAGCAGAAAAATCTACCTCACAGCCAGATACGCTTTTTCGGAGTCCTTCTGGAGATCGGTGACGGGATGAGGGAATCCTTACTAATAAATTATGAAGTTGAAATCAATGACGTTCACCAGATACTACAAATCAAATGATTTATGTCGACATACAGTTCCTCAGTACCGCAGAAGTTGAGTCAATACGAAAGTCTGCGTGTGTGGTATATTTTGACAGTATACGTCTTAAATTTGATCGATTATTTAAAGCAAAAACCTTTATTTTAAACAAGTTTAAAATATTCGTTATAAATCGGTAAATAATCAAAATCCAGACAACCCAAACGCTAACTGTCTTCGATATATACGCACAAAAGTATGTATTTTGACAGATTGAAATTAATTAAAAAATGTAGGCTAGTTGTAAAAAGAGGGAAAAGAATCTTTTTTGCTGCTTTATTGAATTTTATTACTCTTTGAAATTGTAGGGCAACGAACTTGCCCTCTTCTGGTTTGTTTACACATATAAGTACATATGTAAGTGTGTATGTAGGGATGTAAGTATACAAGAATAAACTTTTTTTTATTTATATAACAAGAAAACTAGGCTTCAAAAAAGTTTCGTTTCGAAAAACAAGAAATGTGGTATATTTGTAGCGGCCTAAAATCCCCGACTGGTAACGGATGTCTTTAATTTTCCTCTTTTTTATAGTATTCCCTAACCAAAGCGAGTATGGGTGAGTGTAGTGCGCCCAAAGACAACTTATTTCCATAATTTTTTATTTTATCAATTATTAAAGAAGCTGTGTAACTATTGTAATATATGCATGATTGGAGTGTTGGCAATGAGAGAAAAATTCTTTCTTTCAAATTACAAAGGCAATGAAAGTAAAATAATCACTTCCCATAACCAAAGGCTGTCAGCATTCAGCACTCTAAATTTAATAATAAGTACATACACTTGTAAGATGTTTGCCAAACAATTTTGCTCAAAAAAGCAGTGGATAATATCTGGTTGGCCGTCTTTAAGCAGCAACATTTTTTTGTTCTTTTCACTTCAAGGATATAATCACCGATTTTTTTTTTGTGAAACACGCGTGACTTTAAAATAATGTGGCTTATACCAGTGTTGTGTATACTAAATTATACTCGTGTGACTTAAATATGGAATTCCAAATGTTGCCTAAAATGTGGCTGATCACCCTCATTATTATAAATGATATTCATCGTGCTTACATACAAACATACATATGTATGTACATATATAATATAGATTGTTGAAAAATAATTTGTGTGGCATTAAAGAGTACAAATGTACTGTATACATATGTAATGATATTTTGCCAATTTTATTTCATTTCTCCGCAATGTGTTTGAAATAAGCTCGCCGACCTAAATGGAAAAAATTTTGAAAAATCAATTAAACGAGCTGATCGCCATCATTAAAGATTTTTTCATTTGGAATTGGGTTGAAAGTAAACATACAAATATACACACCGACACAGCAACACACAGCACATAACAAATTTGTACAGTAAAATATTTCCCTGAAAGGAAAAATATACAATAATTATAATTAATAATAATAATTTCTTAAATTTGTATTATTGACAAACACTGTGATTATTTAAATCGTTGTTTAAAATAAGTACATACATAAAACGCACTCGCATTATAAAGCTTCAAATACCTTCCACTTAGAGATAAATATGATATGTTGACAAATCTCTGTGAAAAGTAGCAAATACCTATACTATATATGTAATCTATGTGTTTATATTATAAATAGTTTTCGTAAGTCTGCCAGTGACTAAACTCAGAAAAAATTTCCTTTAAACTTTTTAACAAAGCTGATAGCAGACATGTTATCAGGTATGTATGTCGAATGTACATATTATATTAGAGACTTTTCCGAAAATTTGAAGTTCATTCGGCAAATAGTTTCGGAGAAATAAGAGTATTTGTAAGAATTTTATTTAATTTAGTGTAGGTTTCCAAATCTTTAAAAATCTTTTTTCTAGAAATGATTTTTTCAGAGTCATTGAGGAAAATTCCAAAACGGTTGGACCCATCGATTTGAAATTTTCAGACGACCTTTTTAAATACACATATTTGTCAGGTAATGCAGGTAATGATCAAAGCAATAATAATTTCAACTTTTTAAGCCACTCTGAAGGGTAAATTTTTTCACAGAGAACGCTTTTTTTGTGAAGGCGGCATTTTGTCTACAATCAAAATTTAGGCTCCTCCTTCAATCATTGTCAGTATACATCTTTAGTAATAATACATTTTATTGGTCTTTGGATTATAGACAAATTTAAGCAGAGAAATATTCCTGATCGTCAAATACTGTTTTTGGCAGGTCCTCATGGAGTTCGGCTGCGGGACCAAGGGAATCCAAATGGTTTCCAAACGAATCTCCTATTATTAAAGTACATTAATAAATGTTCTTGTCCATTGAATATAAATTAGAGAAAACTTTGATTAAGTTTTTAATTTCTTTTACTTAATTATCAATTGCTATATTTTTAAAAACCCTCTTCTTCACATTTTCTATTTGTGATTCAATTGTTGTAACTTTGCATTGAGTGTTTTGGCCGATTTCATTTCAAATGCTGGAAAATGCCAAACATTCTTCATCGGCTTGCAGACAAATGTATTTACATGCATGAGTAGTTACGTGTGTGCATATGTATGCACAATATGTGGATCATTTTCGATTATTACAAAAGTGCGATGAAAACGAAATCTTAAATACTAGCATTTCATTTCGCAAGCTCTTTCCGCTTTGATGAGTGAAAATAAATATTTAATGAACGAAATTCAGCGATTTATTTGGCGAATCTCAAAATAATATTTTTTTGGTGAATTACATTTCTGAATGCAAATTTTGTTTATGTGCAACGAATGAACGAGTACCAAAGCACCTTTGTATATACACACATGTACATATATAATAATCTACAAAACCATAGCATATTTGAACTGTATTTTTTTTGTAAACTTTTGTTTATGAAGACTTATTTCGGGAAATCATGTCGTGGGATATCTCTGTTCGAAATTAAATTGCAATATTATGGTCGAGTGCTGCTTTGACACACCTCAGCATTTAGAAGGTGTAATTCATCACTGCCCACTGCCTGAGATGGAAAAATGATTAGACTAGTTTGCTTATTGAATCGAATGCTTAAATAAGCGAATATCGAATCGACTCGAGGCAGCAGTGACAATTGGGTTTGTAAACAATCTAGCGAATGGCGCTCCAAAAATTAGTCAAAACCGTAAAAAACCAAAATTCGCTGAAGACCAACCCAGCCGAGGCTTATAACTATTGTAAGGAAAATTGTATTAAACATTCGCATGCCTGTATTGGCTAAAATAGAGCCTATTAAGAACTCTCTGATCTATTTACTTTTAGAATCTAATATAAGATGTGCACTGGTGTTCACAAAGTTTCGCAAATGTACCTATTAATAAACTGGAATATTTGTCGCGTTTGAATCAAAATAGTTAGGTCTTTGCATACTGAAATCTCGAAAAATTCATTAAAAAATTGTTACACAAGTTGGTATTTCGCTTAGAGCTTCTAATTCTAATTAATTCATATGTATATTTAAATCAATTCTAACATTTAATTATATTAACAATAGACAATGTTACAGTGAAATGTATTTAAATTTCTCATATTTTTAACTAATCCGCTTGATTTCAAAAACATGCAGTGGGAAATTTAAATTAGCTTATGCGTAGCGGGTAAGGTAAATTTGTGTTGAGAGAACTTAAGTTGTAATAAAATATATATAAATAAATTGTAACCCATTGTATGAAGCTCAGTCTCAGTCTCTTTTCATTGTCCTTTTACTTTTTCTCATTAACATTTGGAATTCATATTTGTGTTACATTTAACATACACATTATAGTCACGCTTTCTCAATAATAGTCATGTTTTTCTTTGGGGTAAAGCAATTAACGGTTTCTTGTAATTGGGCTGATAAATTGTAGTAATTGTTTCGAGTTAAACAAAAAGCATGAATAGGAAATAATTGTATACTTTTAGTGTTCTACTTCAGCACAAAAAATAGTTCGTGAATGAAAACTTAAAAAAGTACGTTCCCTCAAAAAAAAAGTCTACATATTTATTTACTTACGTTGTTAGCTGCGCCAAACTGAATTTCCGTTCATCCTCCTGCCTCGAATTCTTGCGTAGAAAGTGTCCGAAACCGCGTAGCGAGAGGCGGGAGTTTTTACGGCACGCAGGGTTGCCACCTTCGCTGCTCAGGTGATTGGGATCGGCCGGCGCATTGGAGGTGCTGTTGTTGGTATTTGGCGGATATCCGTTATACTGTTGGGTTGTAGTTGTGTTAGATAAACTCTCCGAGATGGTGGGTATAGTGAGGCCAACCTGACCTTCGGCATTGCCGTTTGGTGTGTGATCAGCCATTTTTCTTGTATTATTTTAAATATTTAAAACCAATAATATTTTTTTAGCAACACTCGTCGAACATTTATGTACGTAAAAGATATTTTAATAGTAATTTTAAGTTTATATTTTTCAATTTAAACGGCGTTTTCCATTACTAATATACTTTCAATATAATTTCTCAGCACGAAGGTCTTGCTCACTTATTATTTATTTCTCACTTATTTTCGCGTGTGGTTTTCAAATATTGCGGTTAGCCTTCCGTTTCCGGCTTTACGCTTTCTTTACACTTTCCCTCGCCTGTGAGTACGTATTGCGGCGTTTAGAACTGGTTACCGATGACTGCACGATTTTGTTGCGAACTTTTCGGAATATCAGCGGCAAATAACTGAAAATTATTAATTACAGTTTCTTTTATCTCAATCGATGTGAATCGAAGTGTAATAACAGAGAACAACGAATGAGTTGAATAACACGACGAGCAACAGCAAGCGCCATCGTACACAGGCTGCAACAACAATGACAACGATAGCAGAATGTGAGCGAGCAAAAAACAATAAAAGTTGAATTTAAAAAAAATTAAACGAAGAGTCAAGCGTTATTGCTTTGGCGAGGGCAGATACTTCGCGAGAGGCACCCAATGCACACATACAATCGAACGTTTAGGTACATGCGAGTGTAGTGGTATTCAGCTGACAGCCAGCTGGTGGTGTGCGATCACTCAGGGATATTAGCTTGCATGCGCTTCGGTTTGTATGTGTGTGTGTGCATAATATTGTTCAAATTTACTTTCTACTTGTACTGCGCGCAGGCGCTAATTTAAATTAGACCAAGCATTGAGATTCAAATCAAATCTCAAACAAATGTTAATAGCCAATCACTGTATAAACATGTGTATGTACATATGTGTTGGCGATATTTATAAGTATTAGTATATCATCGTACTAGCGGTTTTTAAGCCATGTTTTCCGAAAAGTTTTTTTTAGTGAAGCTCATATGGCATGAAGGCATATGCAGATAATATAGAAAAAAAATAAAAAAAACCTTTTTTATGCGCCAAAGACAACACTACAATCACTAATCGGACAAGTATAGCATATATCTGTCATACTGACCGATGCAAATCAAGATAATAATACCCTTTTATGTATAACAAATGCACCTGTGAAGGGTATTATAGGTTCGGTGTAGCCGATTTTCATCTCACAACTCTAAAATTGTATTACGGCAGAGAATGTAACACCTTTAGACTAAAATTTATGCGAACAAACATAGTTTACTCCGTGCGCCAACTTTTAGTTCTCAGGCCAAAATTTTTGTCAAATAAAAACCGCTCACTTAAACGCATATATATGTATTCACTTATTTGCCACATTATTATTTAGATGCAATATTATATTTGCTTGTTGATCATAAATTATTAAAATTAGTGTGTTATACTTATAGTTTTTAAGTCATGAGTTTAGATAAAATTTATTACAGTGTAATATGGATCGATAATTTGGTAAATATACATATGTATATGTTTATATGTGTTTAAATGGGTGTCAAACGTAATTTACTGCTACTATGTAATAGTCATAATAACTAATTATTTATAATTTTTTGTAACATATCTAATGATGTAAGAACAAAAGTGATCTAACCATTTTTGAAATTGGCAATAGCTGTTTTCGAGTAATACAGATCGGTTTATATCTATTTATAAACAGTTGGCTATTATTTTTAAAGCTCTGCATTTGTACTTAGGATAGGGAAGACGAAATAAACAAATTTAGCAGTCTTTCACAGTATGGAATCACGACTATGGAAACGTTGAAAATCTTGCAGAAGCATTTTGGGGAGTCTACTTTATCAGGAACACAAGTATTTGAGCGGCACAATGCATTCAGTGAAGGTTGTGAATGTAAAAAAAAAACAGTGCTTGAAAATTGTCGTGTTGGCAGCAGAGAGATAGCATAAGATCTCAACATTTCTTATGGATCAACTCAACACATTTTGGTTGATGTCTCGGCTATGAAGCGTGTCAATGCTAGACTCGTATCAATCGTTTGCAAAAAGATGCTTTATGACGAGACGTGGGTTTATGAATACGAAGTCGAAACAATCGAAAAATTAGCAGAAACCGAAAGAAGGTAAACTTGCTGAAGCCAATGAAGGCCATTCCAGAAAGGCTTATAACAAGTTTATGGCAAATTGGATTATGCGTTGGTATGCTTGGAGCTCAGAAACCTATTTTGGAGGCGATAATAAAGATTTGTTTTAAAATACGTAAAGATTTTTATATTGTTAGTCCGGGTCAAATTTGATAATTATGAAAATATAAATCAATCGTCTAATTCCGCCTGTAGTCAGCAGTGTAAGAGCCTGCATAGCTACATAGATACATATATACGCTGTTGTTTTTCTCGCATAATTTTTCAACTCTTCTATCAACGCACTTAATTAACACACTCATAAATAATAACAAAAACTTTTAAATAAACAAAACGTATAGATATGAATTGCAAAACAAAACGAAATCATATCATTTAGTATATGTTTATCTGTATACATATGTACAACTTGTTAAATTGAAGAGAAAATATAAAATCAACAAATGATTGGGCGCCGATCGTTGCTTGTACACACACTTACGCACACAGACCAAATTGGCGCTAATGAATTAAGCGTACAATTGTTTAGAATAGCGACAAGTAATCAAATCAAGGGACCATAAGGCTTTAAACACTAACAATGGCTGATCTATTCTTTGCTTGTTTGTTTCGCTAGTTCGGTTGAATGAAGGTGTTGTATGATTGTTCGCTTACGGGCAGCTAACACCTCGCTTGGTTGCGCGTACCAAGTGTCATTGTATAAAATTTAACAAATTTATACTTTTTATGTTGTTGTTTGTTCAATATTTGGTTTTGTTTTGTTATTCCTTGTTTACTTTCACTCACACAATGAACGCACTAGTACTTGTGAATACGAGTAAGCGCGTTACGAGGCGCTTTTAAGTAATACACACGACCCAATTATATCATACTCCTCGTTTTGCAAGTCCCTGCACTACGCGCTTGATCGAAGGATTTTTTATAATTACTACTATTATTTCGAATACTATCACGTCTGGAACTACACTTTCACATGCTTTTGTAAAGCGTTTACTGTTTTTTACGCGCCGCGATTACTGGTATGCCATTGAACTTTAGCTCCGCGTCGGTTTTTGTTTTAACTCCGTGACGCTACTACCTTATTTATCTCATTTTTATACGCTAAACAGTGTGTATTTCCACGAAGTTTGTAATATCCAGAAGGAAACGTCGGATATTCCATATATTATGTATAAATATAATTGATAAGCGGGCCTACCAAAATCAAGTTAAAGATCCTTTTATACCCTTTTCATTGCATAAAAGAAATGCACCTGTGAAGGATATTATAAGTAGCTGCGGTGCTGCCGAAGCTAGGGTTTTTCTTGGTTTATAATAAATTATTATTGTTTGGAGTATTGTATTTGTATATACGTACATATATTATTTGCACGAGTATGCGCATGTGTATGTGGATTTTGTGCTGTTATTGACAACAATTATGAATTATAACATTAGGCTTATTGCTGGGTATACTTTCGTAAATAAATTTGAAAAGCACCTATAATAATTGTTCCAAAAAATGTGCTGGGTTTGCTAAATTCGGTTGCGCGCGCACTTTGCTGCTCTTTACACGTTTTTGAATCGTTTTTTCACTTTGCTAATTTCTAAAGACGCTGCTGCTTCGAGCTTATCGCATTTTAATTTATTCCGAAATGCACGCGAGCGATATCGAGGTAAATATTATTTTAGTGCAAATACATTTACATGCACATATACATACATATGTATATGAAAATATTTTTACTTTTACACACATGTTTTAATATTTTAAACACATTTTTTTACAGAGTGTTTGCGAGAGACGTGTTGTTTTAATTCGCTCACCTGAACAAATCGCGAATTTCTCACTTCAATCGGCGTGCTTCAAGAATTATCTTTTCACAATCTTACCGGCAAAAAGAAACAAAAATCGTGATAATTATTATAAACACTAAAATTAAAATTGCGCTTAAATAAATTGTTACTAACACACAACAACTCCCTTCCGGCCTTAACTCTTCCCGCTCGCCATGAATTTCCTTTATTAGTTCAAATTTCGCACGAGTTTACGCCATTATTTGTTTGTATTTGGGTTTTGTTGTTTTCGTTTTTTTTTTTGTTCTAGTGTTGGCATACATTTCTTGTTATTACTTTTGCTGGTGTTTGCCCCGTGGTCCACAGCTTTTTTTCGCACACAAACACATTGTCATTCATTAAGTTGTTGCTGTTGTTGTTTTTGTAATTTTTATTTAGCCTGTATATCCATCACCAAGTGAATCGCATCAAACGAATTTAATTCGGTTTTATCTGGTTTGACCTGCGTCAATTTGCACGTCACCGTCGTGTTATTGCCACAGAGAGTGGTTGTTGTTGCTATTGTTGTTAAGAGGTTGGCTTACTGGTTCGCCTCAGTGCTGGGTCGCTTTGGCTCATTGCCGTTGTTGAAGCAGCTGCTGCTTTCGTCGATCGCCGCTCGTCTGGTTGGTTGGCCACGATCAGCGCGTGCCGCCATAAAGCGCTCTGCCACAACACCTCAAGAGATTACTTTCAGACGCTGGTTGTTGTTAGAATAACATTCTCCTCGTTGATGTTCTGAATTAAGTATATACATTCTCAAATTTAGTGCGGCTGCTTACTCTTTCGTCGCTTTGGTAGTTCTTTGTCGTTCTGCGAGTGGTTAAACATTGGTGAATCGGCCTTAAGAGCAAGTAATGTGATTTACAGACAAAGATTTGCACTCAATTGTGTTGGCCGCTTTTAACTGGTTTAAGTTGGTTTGGGCTGAGATCGGTGCGGTTATCCAATCCGATCGCATTGCGCCAACTCGAGTAGGGTGTAATGTAATCACACCTGAGATGGTATGTGCACGAAGTTCGTATAAAAAAAAGGGGAACTACCTAATGTAAAGCTTAGAATGATTTGGTTTCACACATTGCTTGTAAACGTTCATTAACATTTATATCAATATAGCCAAAATTTCAAAAAGCCGGGTATTATAGAAATTTGGAGAGAATCCTTTTCTGATATGCCTGTGTGTCAAAAATGGGTTGAATTGGATTAATAATTCCCATAGTCTCTATTTACCTAACAGAAACATTTGCGAACTTCCGGATGACTTGTGCATAAAATGGGTAATTTCGGTTGAAAACTTGGTCTAGCCGCTTTCTACCAATATCAGGCTTATATTGCTGATGGTATGTGAGGTACCTGAATGAATCTCAGCGATCATCTTTTTCGCTTTAATACTTGTAATATGTGGTAAAGGAAAAAATATCTAATACAACATTTACAAACTTCCGCTTAGCTTTATGTAGTATATACCGGTCAATATGTAAGAAATCTTAGCTGTACGTATTATAATGGACATACTATAGTTTAATGCCGAAAACATGTGAAATGTGTCCCATATACTATATATAATCATTTGCTCTATTCAAACAAACCTTATGCCGAATGAAAACCTTATGCTTGAAAATATATTCTCGAGTATACCTGAACAATGCCAAAGGATAATGCAAAAAGCCAAGACCTTTCTCTGCCCCCATTATATTCGATATAGTGATTTCCGACATGCCAGCTGATTTTAAACCGTTTAGGTTGGTAAAAATGTGTGGTATTTTAATGAAATTAAGTGGACAAGTTTTCCTAAAAATTAGATGGTTTAGCACTGAATATGTAACGAGTTGGTGTATACCTTAATCTAAACCTCATAAACATAATGAAATGAGTTTTTGATATTTGAAGTTTCAATAGTGTAAAACGTTTCGGTTAGCCCTTCCTGATTTATTATATATCTATAATTCATTTCGATAATACCATTAGAAATTTACAATTGTTTGTCTTATAGAAATTGTTTACTTAGCATTTGTAATGTCTACTTCGCTGTCTGTCACTCCACTTGTCCTTTCGTCTTCAATTTTTTTATTGCCTGTCAAAATGTTTGCCAAAGTCAATAATTCTTTCAAGTGTTTTTGTTCCCTTCCTTTCTGCCCCCACATACACACAAAGATGCCAGTAAAGCGATCCGCGATGCCACGCACATGTTGTCAACCAATACAATTCATATAGAAACAATTTAAACTTTAAGCACAAAGTGAAAAAATAAAAAGAAAGAGTTGGGAAGAAATACGTGAATCTACTTATAAGCTTACATATGGTATATGAAGGAAATATATATATAGAAATTTGTGATTGTTTGTCTGAAATAAAGTGGGCGGATAAAAAGACGAAGGAGATAATGGTACGAAACGATTAGAAGTAATTCTGAGCAATTGATGACGAGGGTCATATATTTGTGCACCCTCTGTCTCCTTGTTTGCACAGACAAATGAACATTTGTAGGTACATACTTATACTGAAATAGTGGCAAGGCAGATGAGTATTGAGAAGTTGCACAGTAATGAACCGTTTTCATTAATTCATTAGATATATTCCAGAAATAAATTTTAGGAAGTTAAAAGAATATTTTCATATTTTTAGAATAAAAACAGGAAGAAAGGTTTACCTTGGCCGCCTTAAAGGTATAATACCCTTCACAGGTGCATATCTTATATCATAAAAGGGCATACAAATATCTTTATTTTGATTTTGAGTAGTCAGTTTGTGTGTCAGTTATGCAAATAAAACAGCTTTCCATACAAGAACTGAAAAAATTTAAAGCTCTATGAAATTTGTACTCTCGCAACATGTAGCACAAAGCCTTTATGTTTATTCAAGGGCTCATTAGTTTTAGGAAATTTAGAAATCAATTGAGCGGAAGTTAAAACTATTAAATTTATTAGTTTTTCATTACTTGTTAGTGTTTACATGATTATTTTTATAAGCACACCTCATGATTGTTCAATGTCAGTGTTAATTTCTAAATATTAAGTCGTGCACTTTTTGTTACGCAAATAATTTTGACACGTTTTTTGTACCAGATAACAAAAATCCACGCAATGTCAATATGTTTTATGAAACAATTACTATGGTCCATAAATTCTGTTAATTATTCCTATTAACACCGTTAATTTTCAACAATTTAATAACAGAAATGTGAATAATTTTGTTAAAAACAAGAAAAAACGTTAACTTCGTTTGCACAGAAGCTATAATACCCTTCACAAATACAAAATATTCCAAAGGAACTTGATTTCGATCGGTTAGTTTGTATGGCATCTACATGCTATAGTGGTCCGATATCAGCAGACAGACGGTCATGGCTAAATCAACTAAGCTCATCATGCTGATCATTTATATGTATATATTTTTATAGGGTCTTCGGCGTTTCTTTCTGGGTGTTACAAATTTCGTGGCAAACTTAATACACCCTGTCAGTGTATAAAAATCACCAAAATTTACAAATAAGTAATTGTTCTAGCTGGGTAAACTTGAGTCATATTTTCATTCGTATTTATTCTGTTAAAACATCGTTTTACTGTTTTAAAAGGCTTGCTGACTGTTTTCACATTGGGAGTCGAATACTGAATATCGTTGCAATACTTTGCATAGTTGCATTTTGTAAACATTTCGAAATCTTCCACATGCTTAAGATTCTTACAATTTGCGAGAGTATTAAATAGTTTTTCCAGCTGCATTTAGCGATTTTTTATTTGTTTCCTTACCTATTCTTATATTTTACTCAAACTCTTAACCTTCGGTGTAATAACTGATATGCCCAAGCACAATCGTATAGCGTGCTTGCCTCACGTACTTACATATTTACAACAAAGCATACGTAATTGTTATCAGATTAGGGTTCTTTGGGGGCTAATATTTTTCGTACGCAATGCCCGTCAATATGAGATATGAATTAGAAAACCTATGCTTGATAAAATAAAAGCAATGCGTAGAAAGAATATTCGAAATGTACGTTCGTTAAAAATGTTTCCTGTTCGAAGCGATATTATCACTAATCCTTATCTGACTTTGTTCCTATACTTACTTTAATTGCACTAAATTTAGACCGAAACATTTGATACGGTCTTTTTACAACGACATATTATCAAGGCTAAATGTGTCACAAGTCTACATAACCGAATCTTTTCATCGCGCATACATACATACATTGGCATAACTGTATTTGTGTATTGTTGTAGTATTACTTTTTCTGAATTTATTCATATGATCCAGAGCGCATTGAAAGTTGGTGCCGCCACTAATATAAGTAATGTGCTTTAAAGTTAATATTCATTTAGAAATTAAGTTTTCAGTTGTAAAAAAAGGAAAATTAGAAAATTATTCGCTAGCGCAACGTCTTCGAGTTTGGTGGTGCTTGAGATGCAATATGTAATTAAATATTTCAGTGGCTACATATCTAAATGTACTTGTATGTGTCTAAAGTCTGCTGCAAGCGGTGTGATCTGGTATTAACTGTTTTTTTATTGACATTTAGTTTAAATATAAAATACATACATGTATAAGTTATAGTAAGTACGTGTGCGTGTGAGTATGAAACTGCGTGAATTGTTTGCTGTTCAATTGAAACAGTTAATTGGAAAATTATTACTTCGCTATTGTAATTATTAATTGTGCATCTGTTTGTACAGACAAAGCAACATACTATGTACTTCCAAAAGTGTGTGATCAATGTCAGCCATTAAGATTACGCACTGCTAACAGCCGCCTACCCGCCACCCACATGGAACATAGAGATAAAAACTAATATACCATAACAGTAATTTATTTACACATTTTGCACTTTTCATTTCATAAAAACGTATGAAAACCTTTTGAAGATTTTTGCCTAAATTATCAACATTAATTTCAGCTGTTACAACAATTTTATTGAATTAACAGAGTACGCGGAAACATTTTGTCTTGTGTTGATAAGAAAAATACCGAAACTAAAAATAATTAGTTGGATAAATATTGTGTTGTGAATGTATAACGACAACGTGTATGGTATGTTTAGAACAGCAACTGCTTGAAAACAATGTGTAAAAACCAAGCGGCAGTTTGTAAGTTTTATAATATATAAATTGTAATAATTAAATTATCAACGAAACTTTGCTGGATACGATTAGGATATGGATATGGATTTTTGCTTATAAATTTTGTGTACTCTAATTAATAAAATTCGTCACTTAATGCCGTTGTGCGCTTGCGCAAGGCAATTTTAGCTGCAATAATATATACCTATATATATGGTACATAGTATGTACGAGCATGTAATATAAACAAATAGTGTGCAATAATAATTTGCTAAAATTTTGCGGGTATCACGTATCTCTTATAGATATGCAAATGTATGTGCGTAAAATACAAAACACCTTCTCGTATGCAAAATAAGCTATATAGAGGTATAACTGATATATAAACTCTTGCTTGCTTTAATGCACACATCATGTTTGGGTAGGTCAGCTGCGAACTTTCGTTTTTGTTTTGTTTTTGTTTTCGAATAAAATTCAAAAGCTGACGTTAAAACATACGCATTTTGTAGATTTTTCAATTTACTTATTCTATGTTTTCTCCATTAATTTGCATTTTTGAATTGAACCGAGCAAATGCCGAAACCCTCGAAGGACATCTTATTGCTCCGAAATTTTCCTAAGCTATACCCACTTTGTAAGTATATATACGAGTATATGCATAGCGTGGGTATAGAGCTGAAAGCATTTATGTGGTTTAGTCATACAACTATAGGTAAACTATGAATATATAAAATTCAAACTTGAAGCACTCTACAAGTATTTATTTAGCTTTAAATTAAAAAGTGATTAGGTTCTGAAGGGTCTAAGATTTTACTAGTGAAAACCAGCTTAGACTCATTTTTGTAAAA